CGCCCCTCTTTCTGTCACTCCATCAGCCCATCTTTTAGTCCTTCCACCGATCCCTTTCTTTAACAACCCTCCAAGCTGCCATTCACTGAGTGCTGACTGGGTGGTTGGCACTGAGCTGTTTTTTGTCTAATTCCTCATTGAGTTCATTTGCTCACAAAGCTACTAACAGAGGTCACTCTTTGCCCCAGAGCAGAAGGTTAGGGAGATTGAACTACTTATAGCTACTTCCAGGCCCCTCCACCAGCATGTCCTCCTCATAAAATCAGCTCATCCCACCACCCACCCTCATTCCTCTGTGTTATCTGCCAGCCCACAGGATTCCTTCCAACCCCAAACTTCCTCCAGACTGTGCACACCCAGATTGCGCATGAGGTCCATCCCCACACCTTTTCACATCTAGGCTGATAACTGATTAGCTTACAGTTCTCAGATTACCTTAGCACTTCAGCCAGCCAGAGGTGAGGCCACACCTGAACCTCGTCATCCTTCAGAGCTGCTCTGACCCTGAGATCTCAGGCTCCTGACATCCCTCTCCTATGTAATGACCCAGCTTTCATTTTCCCCATCCATCCACTCATTGGAGCTCGTTTTCTGATTTCATGATATTTTTCCATCCAGCCCCCAGATCACTCCCCAGCATCACTACTGCATTTGAACTCTTCTTCCTGTTTGAAGTTAGGGCCCTTCCAAGCACTTGCTCCTTCTGTCCCATTACTCATCATCTTCTTTGCGTCTCCTAGCTCTTCCTTTCCACTAGGCTGCTTTATTAGCCTATAGAGATCTCTATTCTAAAAGTATGTATTAGTCCATTCTCAGGCTGCTATGAAGAAATACCCAAGACTAAGTAATTTCTAAAGAAAAGAGGTTTAATTGACCCACCGTTCATCATGGCTGGGAAGGCCTCAGGAAACTTACAATCATGGAGGAAGGGGGAGCAAACATGTTTTTCTTCACATGGTGGACAGAGGGAAAAGTGCTGAGCAAAACACAGAAAAGCCCCTTATAAAACCCTCAGGTCTCATGAGCCCTCACTATCAGGAGAAACAGCATGGAGGGTAACTGCTCCCAAGATTAAATTACCTCCCACTCGGTCCCTCCAATGACACATGGGGATTATGGGAATTACAATTCAAGTTGAGATTTGGGTGGGGACAAACCATATCAAAGTCCTTTGTAAATTATGCCATCGAACTCTCTTGTTTCCTTTGCCACCATACTTCATGTTAGAGTTATGTTCTTATTCTCTCTTCACAGAGCAGTTTTTGTCCTAATGCATCATCTGTGGTCACATGAAATAAAGTTTTTTTGTTGGTTTTTTTTTTTTTGAGACGGAGTTTTGCTGTTATTACCCAGACTGGAGTGCAATGGCATGATCTCAGCTCACCACAACCTCTGCCTTCTGGGTTCAAGCAATTCTCCTGCCTCAGCCTCCCGAGTAGCTGGGACTACAGGCATGCACCACCATGCCCAGCTAATTTTTGTATTTTTAGTAGAGACAGGGTTTCACCTTGTTGACCAGAATGGTCTCGATCTCTTGACCTCGTGATCCACCCACCTCAGCCTCCCAAAGTGCTGGGATTATAGGCGTGAGCTACCGCGCCTGGCCAAGATAAAGCTTTTTTTAAAGAAATGGGCTAGGTGGGCCAGCTAGGACTGGAGTGGCTGGGGTCCAATGGAATGCCACCTCATGCCAGTGGGTGCCCAGCACCCCTCCCTCCCGTCTGTGGGGGCCCCAGCAGGGGAGGAGCCTCAAGACCATGCAGACATGAGGGTAGGTCCCCAGCTTGCTCCTGAGGCTCAGAGCAGGGCCAGGGACCTGGCTGCCCCAGGCCAAAGCAGCCTCTACCCCTCTGGCATCATGGACTACGGGCACTCCAGACCTGGGTCATGGAGAGGTTCATTGATTGACTGAGCAATGGTGACCAAGTTGCAAGCAACATGCACTCAGACTCCTGCAAGTTCCTCTAAGTTCTTAGAGGACTGCTTTGCCTTTTGATTTGAGAGTTGCGAAGTTCCATAAAGAATGGCCCTTGTGGATAAGCACAATGCCAAGAGACAGCAATGGGACAGAATTTGTGAAGGTATCACGAATGGACTCCTGTACTCCCGACCCTGGTGGCGCTCTGAGATTGCACCATGGAGATACCTATCCTGAAGGACCTGGCCACCATGGCCTTCTATAACAAACAGTCCTTGCAGGAGAACCACAGGAAGGTTTTAAATGAAGCTGTGGTTGCCAAGATGTACCACCATCACCCTAACCAGGGAGGACCTGGAAAAGTTCAAGGCCCTGAGAGTGATCGTGTGGATAGATGTGGCTATGACAACGTGGACATCAAGGCCGCCGGGCGAGCTCAGTATTGCTGTGTGCAACATCTCGTCCGCAGCCGCAGAAGAGACAGCCAGCTCCACCATCTGCCACATCCTCAGTCTGTACCAGAGGAACAAGTGGCTGTGCCAGGTACTGCGGGAAGGCACGTGGGTTCAGAGAGTGGAGCAGATCTGCGAGGTGGCCTCAGAAGCCATCTGTATCCTTGGGGAGACGCTGTGGGCCTCATTGGCTTCCGTCACAAGGAGCAGGTGGTTGCAGTTCATGGCAAGGCCTTTGCATTCAGCATCATATTTTATGACCCCTACTTGCAGGATGGAATAGAGTGGTCCCTGGGCATTCAAAGGGTCTACACCCTAAGAACTTGCTGTATCAGAGATCAGAGTGACTGGGTCTCCTTGCACTGCAATCTCAACGAACATAACCACCACCTCATCAATGACTACTATAAAGCAGATGAGGCAGGGAGTATTCCCTGTGAACGCAGCCCGTGGTGGCCTGGTGGATGAGAAAGCCTTAGCACAGGCCATCAAGGAGGGCATGATCCTCACACTGGCTGGTACAGCTAGTAGGCGTCAACAGAGATGAGGGAGGTGGCTGCCACCGAGATCTGTCGTGCCATCACAGGTCGCATCCCAGAAAGTTTAAGAAACTGTGTGAACAAGGAATTCTTGGTCACATCAGTGCCTTGGTCAATAGTAAATCAGCAAACAATTCATCCTGAGCTCAATGGTACCACATACAGATATCCACCAGGCATCGTGGGTGTGGCTCCAGGCAGATTCCCTGCAGCCATGGAAGGGATTTTCCTGGAAGCATCCCAGTGACTCACAACCTCCTGACAGTGGCACATCCTTCCCAAGTGCCCTCTCCCAACCAGCCCACAAAACATGGGGACAATTGAGAGCACCCCAAGGAACAATAGCAGAGAATGCTGAAAGGTAATCATTCAGATGCATTTGGGATCAAGAGACAGTGAAAAATAGATGAACTAAGAGAAAAAGAATCTAATGGTCTTTTTTTTTTAACTGATTCTGGACCGATGCATCGTTGATGTTGCAGTGTTAAAACTACAAGAGCTAGAAAACTGAAGATGCGTCTGCTTACAGAAGCGCTGAAAGACGAAGATGTGATTTGTTAAGACCAGTTTTGGTTATTGCATGTTAAGTTTTTCATCTGTGCATCAAATCACAAAGCATAAATAGAATTTTTTCTTTATCAGTCCCTTGGGCACAGCAGGTCCTGAACACCCCGCACTAGAATGTTGCATCAAAAGTTCAAACATCAAAATAAAAAATAGTAAGAGGAAATCCTCATCCTGACTCTAATCCCTTCAGTCTACAGGGGCTGGTTACCTCTTTTTGCTAATAGAAAGATCACATTACTACAAAATGGGGAGAAAACTCTTTGCCTGTGGTTGACACCTGCACACATAGGATTGAAGACAGTACAGCCTCCTGTACAGAGAAACGTGTCTCACAGAACTGCATACTGAGTGGGAAAGTTGGTTGTAAAACTCTCTGATGATGCAAAAAGAAAGCATTAAGTTTCATAAGCTATTTGTACTCATATAGTTTCTCAATTTCAGATCCTCTGGAAGTTTTGAACTAAAAGGGTTCAAGAAAAATAACGTTGCATTTCCTTATGTCTCAAGAAACACTTTTTTTTTTTGTTTTTTGAGACGGAGTTTCGCTCTTGTTACCCAGGCTGGAGTGCAATGATGCGATCTCGACTCACCGCAGCCTCCGCCTCCTGGGTTCAGGCAATTCTCCTGCCTCAGCCTCCTGAGTAGCTGGGATTACACGCACGCGCCACTATGTCCAGCTAATTTTTGTATTTTTAGTAGAGACGGGGTTTCACCATGTTGACCAGGATGGTCTCGATCTCTTGACTGCATGATCCACCTGCTTCGGCCTCCCAAAGTGCTGGGATTACAGGCGTGAGCCACCACACCCGGCCTGAAACACTTTTTATAGTAACTTGTCAGCTTGTCTATGAACAAACCCACTTTTTCAGACTTTCATGAAGTCTTTTCTTCATGTGATACTTTATTCAAGAACACTTCTGATGTATTAGATGTGACTGATTTTAACAAATCCTACTAGATTTGTATCAACTAGTTACAGATTCTATTCATAATCTGTTGTGAATCATTGCCTTTTTGATAAAAAGATGGCCTATTTTGAGCCTTTGTGAGGGTACAATCCTGTTTTTGTGACAAAAGAAAAACTTTAAAATTGTCCCAAACAGAAAAATAATAGCTAACAGAAGTATGTTTTATTTTACTGTGAGTTACCATTACTGTATTTGTTTATTGAATAGGTGGACATTTAGTGTCCAGCACGGTTTTCAATAAAAAGTAATTAAAATTAAAAAAAAGAAAGAAAGAAATGGCTTTGACAGATCAAATGGTGAAGGCCACAGCAGAGTTCAATAGCCAAGAAGAATATGAGGTTTATCAGGTAGGCTGGCTACTTCTAACTATCCAGGAGAGTTTAAAGTAATATAATAAAATGCTCAGGGTTCTAAATTTGCAGCTAAAAATACAGCCAGAGAACCAAGGCTTTCCTATAATTGTCCTAAAAGAATGTCTTATTATTATCCTGAAATAATATCTTATCACTTAGAGCTAGTGAGTTGATGTAGCTGAAAATTAGACACAGATTCTTACCTTATTGGTCGCTGATTCACAACGCAGATTGAATTCATAGCCTCACCCGATTTCATATGTGAAAGTTGGGCAATGTTAGGAAAGACCATTCTGTAAGATTAGAATGGTGACAATTAGGGGAACTCAGTTAATTTTGAAGCCCCTTGACCCTTAACTCTGCCAAGCTCTCTCACTAGTAGAAACAATTCCTCTTACCTTACTTAACGAGGATGGACCTGCCACCTGGTGGAAGACTCTATGACTGTTCTCCACCCCCACTGCTTCACACATTGAGGGAATCTGTGGGGATTGTTCCCGTGTGAGGCCCCTAGGAAATGGGCCTTGCCATACGGTGAGCTTGAGCCCGGACACAGATCCCCGGTTGGGGGAGTCGAGCTGAGGGAAAGCAGGAACTGAGAGAAGGACTATGTTATTCTAAATAGTTAACAGACATTACTTTATGAATATGAGGACTTGGGAGTCAATATGTCCATTTTCGGCTTCTTATGGTTTATTGGTTGATTGTGTTCATTTTGGACCCTTGTTACCTTCATTGTAAAATATTAACTTAAGTATTTACACTTGGTAACTTACTTACCGTAACTTACTGGGTGTAACTGTAACTTACTTCTCATAGCTTACTGGGCGTGACTGTAACTTACTTACATTGATCTATTGGGGGTAACCTAATTACTGAAAGCAACCTACTTACTGAAAGGAACCTACTTACTGGGCGTAACCTACTTAATGGGATTAATTTACTTACTGGGCGTAACTTAGTGGGTGTAACTTGCTTACTGTAACTTAAGTACGTTGATCTGGTGTAAACAACTTTGACTTCAGAAAAGTATATAAGGAAACATATTGCAAAAATAAAATTGCTGCTTGGACATAGCCTAAGCCAGCCCTCCAGACTCCGCTTTTCTATTTTCTTTCACTTTCGCGCACTCTCTCCCTCAGGTTGAACAAGACATCTACGTTGGCGGTCTTGGGGACTCCTGCAGGTTGGTAGTCCCCTGGCAGACATGCCGGATCCCGACAACACATCCTCCAGATCCGTGACTAGAAACACTCTCTGTGCCCAGGGAACCATTTGTAAAGTTATACCCAGGCAATGCTTATATGTCAAAACATGCAAATTTGTATCTCAATTTAAAACCTGGAGAATAGACATAGGAATATGTTCCAACCATGCTTGGGAAGGGGAGAAGTGCATAATTTTAATTCTGGCTAAATTTATCAGTATGGTTGTGCTTACCAGAGATTCTGGAGCTGATGTACACACTCAATAATCTAATACAAGTTCTATGGTTACTTTAGCAGATAAACTGAAGCCTGGATTCCATAATAGTCAAATGCAACTGAGATGCCAAAATATTCCTAGATATAGTGTAGAAGACATCCAAAGATCTGGGGAGCTAGATACAATGAATCGATCACATGTGACTGGCTTATCCTTGCTTTAACTACAGGAATACCTCAGAGATAGGCAGTTTTTCAACCTTCACCCTCCGCTCACCCTCCACCTTCAAGTGGGCCCCAGAGTCTATTGTTCTCTTCTTTGCGCCTATGTGTACTCCATGTTTAGCTCCCACTTATAAATGAGAACATGTGGTGCTTGGTTTTCTGTTCCTCTGCTAATATTCTTAGGATGATGGAGTTAGCCTAATTCTTAGGGAATCCTAGGATTTTGGGAATGGTAAATGAGCATTGGCTTCAACTTAAAGTCACCAGCTGCATTATCCCCTAACAAGAGAGTCAGCCTGTTCTTTGAAGCTCTGAAGCCAGGCATTGACTCCTTCTCTCTAGCTGTAAAACCCTGATATAGTTTGGATTTGTGTCCCTGCCCAAATCTCATGTCAAATTGTAATCCCCAGTATGGGGCCTGATGGGAGGTGATTGGATCATGGGGATGGTTTCTGATGGTTTAGCACCATCCCCCTCATGCTGTCTTGTGACAGAGTTCTCCTGAGATCTGCTCTTTTAGAAGTGTGCAGCATCTCCCACTTTGTAAAGTTCCTCCTGCTCCTGCCATGTAAGATGTGGCTGCTTCCTCTTGGCCTTCCTCCGTAATTGTAAGTTTCCTGACAGCCATGCTTCCTGTACAGCCTGTGGAAATGTACATCAAACTTTTCTTCACAAATTATCCAGTTTTAGGTATGTCTTTATAGCAGTGCAAGAACGGACTAATACAAGCCCCTAGATGGCATCTTCTTCCAATGGAAAGCTGCTTCTTCTCTGTTGAAAATCTGCTGTTTAGTGTAGCCACTTTCATGCATGATGGTCTTAGCTAGATCTTCTGGATAACTTGCTGCCGCTTCTAAACCATCCCCATGATCCAATCGCCTTCCACCAGGCCCCTCCTCCAACACTGGGGATTATAATTCAACATGAGATTTGGGCAGGGACACAAATCCAAACCATATCAGGGTTTCATAGCTAGAGAGAAGGAGTCCATGCCTGGCTTCAGAGCTTCAGAGCTTCTGCAGTTCAGCATCATCACTTGCTGCCCAACCCTTCATTTTTATGTTATGAAGACAGCTTTTTTCCTTAAACCTCATGAACCAACCACAGCTAGCTTCCAACATTTTGTCTGCAACTTCCTCACCTCTCTCTGCCTTTAGACAATTGAAGAGAGTTAGAGCCTTGCTCAGGATTAGGTTTTGCCTTAAGGGAATTTGGTGTCTGGTTTTGTCTTCTAAGCAGACCAGTAGAACTTTCTCCATGTCAGCAATAAGACTTTTTCACTTTCCCAATGTTTGTTAACTGGCATAGGACTTTAAATTTCCTTAAAAATGTTTCCTTTACATTCACAACTCAGTTAACTGGCACAAGAAGCCTAGTTTTTGACCTGTCTTGGCTTCAACGTGCCCTCCTCACTATGCTTAAGCATTTCTAGCTTTTGATTTAAAGGGAGGGATATATGCAAGTGTTCTTCACTCAAACACTTAAAGGCCACTGCAGGTTTATTAAGTGGCCTAATTTCAGTTGTGCTGTGTCTCAGGGAATAGGGATACCACAGGAGAGGGAGAGAGACGGCCAATTGATGAAGCAATCAGAACACACGCAACACTTATCGAGTAAGTTCATCATCTTATATGAGCACGGTTCGTGGTGCCCCAAAACAATTACAACAGTAATATGAAAGCTCTCTGATCACAGATCACCATAACAGATATAACAATAAAGAAAAGTTTGAAATAATGGGAGAATTACCAAAATGTGACACAGAGACATGAAGTGAGCACATGCTGTTGGAAAAATATTGCTGACAGACTCGCTCAACACAGGGTTGACACGAACATTCCATTTGTAAAAGCACAATGTCTGCCAAGTGTAATGAAGTGAAGCACAATAAAACACGTTATAGCAGTATATTCCCTGGGAGGGGAGTACTTTGATGAGGAGAGTACCAGCCTCCGTCAAAGGTGCTACAGTGGCAGCATAGCATATATGCTGGGGATGATGAGGGAGATACTACCATTGCATGTGTTCCGGAAGTTTAATGGGGGTAATGAGATCCGAGCATTGACTATGTAGTAACGTACAGGGACCACAAGTGAAGGGGACATTTAAGACACCAGGGCCAGAGTAGTAGTCGGAATAGACTGACACACAGAGACCTGTGCTGGTGGCTAATTGGCCATGGATACCAACGACTACAATATACAGGGCATTGAATTAAGGTCCTATTTGATTGTAGAATCAGGGGGTCATGACTTTTCACCAAATTCCCACACCAAAGTCAGATGTCTAGAAATACTGTGTACTCTGTAGCATATGACACTGGAAGTTTACATTGTAAATCTTCCTCCCAATTTTCCCCCAAGGGAATTGTGGTCATTTAGTAGAGTGACTTTGCACTGAGAAAACAGAAATATCACACTTTTCAGGGCTTATTACTGGCTTTTAGCTAATGCTAGTCCCTGGTCATGGGTTGAGTGGAAATTCATGGGAGTAAGGAGATAAATGGCATTTGGGCCCAAACCATTTCATAGTGGGCCAGATAGATTCATACCCATCTGTGGTTATCTCTCTAGGTCCCGAATGTATACCTGGAATATATATATATATACTCAGCAATAGGCAGGTTCTCCATATTGACTTCCTGACCTATTGATTAAAGGCTGTCAAGATAGAAAGGACCAAGTGAAAACTCCTAGTGAATCTTTTTTCTAACAAAGCAGTAAATCAGAACCAATGTCACATTTCTAGGAGAATTACAGAGATTAATGCCACCACAGAAGACTTGAAAAATGCAAGGTTGGTGACCCACCAGTTGGCTGAAATCAGCTAATACAGGCTCATGATAATTTTTATAGTTGTTATCACTTATTCATGAGAATAGTTATCATGAGATTTTTAACACTGCCTCACAACTTCATCTTTAGTGATGTCATGTTGGTAGTTTGACATCAGCCATGGAGGGAGTATTTACACCATGGCAACTGGCAAACAGTATACATCAGGGTATATATTTTTTTCATTTTCTAAGAGCCAGTTTACCAGAAAATCCCTGGTAATATCTATGATATTCTCATTTAACTTACCTCTTTGGCTTGTGCAGATCTTGAACCTAGAGAGTGACGGAAGATTATATAAGAACAATTCGATTGTCATTTCAGCTGCAGCTGCTATTCAAGATCTGGTGTATTTCCTATCCATATCAACACTGCTTCTGGCGCTTACTGTGAATGAATGGATGAACACATGCTTGCATGGAAGGGAGGGTGTCTGTATCAAGCGATAGTTATATTAGAAGCAACAACTGAGTGTTGTTTCTTTATTAGAATTTAAGTATGGAAATAAAACTGTGCATTCGGGTACTGCAGAGATTTTAAAAATCTAAAAACTTCCCAGAGTCCTTTGCAGATAGAGTTTAAATTGTTACTTAGGTCTGCCAATGAGAAACACCTGGAAAGACTTGACTTTAAAACCCTCCCTCTGTATCCAAAAGTTGCAGTCACACCTTCCCGATTCCCATATCACAGCTAATGAGAATGCTTCCAGATTCAACAGTTGCAGTAGTGGCTTCCAGACTCCTCAGTGTCTTGACTGTGGTGGGGGCGGCAACTCCTCTGGGAGGTCAGGGATGAGATGTCCTGGATTCACTCCAAGAGTCTCAGTTTAGAGTTTGGCCTTCTAGCCCTTCCGATGATTTTGTGAGCACCCAATTCACTGTATTAAATCCTCTTTTGCCTATAATAGCTAGAATGGACTCTTATTTGCAACTGAACTCTAATACACTTTCAAGTTTTTTTCCTCCCCATCGATTTTCTTCTCTATTATCCAAACATTTCTCATCTTACTTTCCAGAGGTGAACTCAGCACTTACATTTAGTAGAAAAAAAACATAGACAAGATTATTTAGAAACTTCTCAACTTTTTGCCTATCCAAGTAAGGTCTCTGGACTCACCCCTACCTGCTCTTATCTGTCTTTCCTACAAGAATAACCCATCGTACAAAAGAAACCTATCCATCTCTTCTGTGGATCCCATCTTTTTCCATTTCCACAATCTTCCGCTTTTCCCGTTTCTTGAACTTCTCACTCGTTATTCTGTTCATTCATTATAGAACACCACCAAGCCTTTCTCATGAAAAACAAAAACAAAAGCAAAAACAAAAAACAAAAAATAAAACTCTAAATTTTTTGTTTCCCTCTAGCTAGGGTCACTGCCAAGCTTTCTATGAGAATCATCTATACAATTCATCTCCACTTCTTCCCTTTCCATTCACTCCTCTGTCCATGCAATTTAACCTTTGTTGCCCTCCTTCCACTGAAATTGACCTCACTGAAGTAACCAATGACCACCTTATGGCCAAATCTAAAAGATCTTTTTTTTTTTTTAGAGACAGTCTCACTCTGTCACCAGGCTGAAGTGCAGCGGCACGATCTTGGCTCACTACAACCTCCACCTTCCGGGTTCAAGTGATTCTCCTGCCCCAGCCTCCCGAGCAGCTGGGACTACAGGTGCATACCACCATGCCCAGCTAACTCTTTTGTATTTTTAGTGGAGATGGGGTATCACGGAGTTGGCCAGGATGGTCTTGATCTCTTGACCTTGGCCGGGTGTGGTGGCTCATGCCTGTAATTCAAGCACTTTGGAGGCCAAGGTGGGCGGATCACCTGAGGTCAGGAGTTCAAGATCTCTTGACCTCGTGATCCGCCTGCCTAGGCCTCCCAAAGTGCTGGGATTACAGGTGTGAGCCACCGCTTCCAGCCAAAAGATTCTTTTTGTCTCTTTCCTTACCTGATCTCTTAGGGGCATTGGACAGCATTGCCTCTCTCCTCCATAACCATCATGACAACACATTCCCAGACCATTCTCCAGAAGCATCTGGTTAGTCTCTGTCCAACCCATAGCCTATTGGCATCATGCAGCCCAGGATGGCTTTGAATGCATCCCAACACATTTCTAAAAACATTATGAGATTTTGAGGGGTTTTGGGTTTTTTTTTTTAGGTCATCAGCTATCATTAGTGTTAGTGTTTTATGTGTGAACTGAGACAATTATTCTTCCAATATGCCCCAGGAAGCCAAAAGATGTGTTATCCCAGCTCTATATCCTTTGAAGTCTCCTTATCCTACCTGTTTTCCTTAAGGAATGCACTTACTTTCAAGGCTTTCTTTCTGAGCCCTACATGGTTTTTCCACTCTAATGGTTCGCCCTAGGTAACATCATCCAAGTCCATGACTTCAGCTACTGACAACTCGCAGGTATACATCTTGAACCGAATCTCCACCCTGACTTCAAGACTGTATATCTAACAGCTTTCTACTTTAAGCCCAATAACGTTTGACATGTATTTCTACCTAGATCTCCCACAGGCATCTCAATCTCAACATGTCCATATCAGAATTCCTCTTCCCCCAATATCTACTCTTTTTCCTTACTTTTCTTGTGAATGGCACCACTGTCCACATAGACCCTCAAACCAGATAGCCAGGAATCATCCTAAGTTTCCCATTTCCTTGTCCTTCATAACTACACTATTACTAACAGATGTCAATTCTATCACTAATACTCTGCCATAGTTTCTCTACTCTCTATTCGACTGTCCTGGTCCAGCCCTCTGTTCTCTCTGTCTCTCTCTCTCTCTCTCTCTCTCTCTCTCTGCACACTGCTTCTGCCCACTCACTAGCTTCTCTGACTCCCTTCACAACCCCCTCAATACATTCTCCACACAGAAGTCAGATCTGATCACATCACTCCCTTCCTTATATCCCACAACTTAGATGATTTCCATCCCCCACCCTCTCCCCGACAACACACACAAACCCTACCCAACACACACAAACCTTGCCCCACACACATCTGGCAAGGCTTCCAGGATAAAGTTCACATCCCGAGTCCTAGACACAAGGTGCTTCATGATCTGGCTTCCTTAACCTCATCTCTCTGCACTGACCCTGAAGCTCTTTACCCACAAGAACATGACACATTCGCCCACTCCAAGGATTTTCCTCCGCATGGAGCTCTCTTCCACTTCTTCGCCTGGGTCACTCCTTTGTCATCCTGCGGACTCAGTTTTTCCCCCAGATGGTTTTTATTACCAGTTTACCAGATTCCGATTCAGATACTTCATTAAGCTATGATAACGAAGAAAGCGAAGTCATCTGACCACCCTTTCTTTGTGCCACCACTGTTTTGTATACTTAAACTTAGCTCTAAAATTACATTAAGCTTTCATATATTAGTGTGTCATATGGGTAGAAAGACTTATCACAGCGCTTGTTAACCTGTATTACAGGCTTTTGCATATCACTGTTCTGCCACAAGTCCAGTGTTCCTTCAGGGCTCAAGCCACACTTAGAGTGTGTCTGGTACAGAATAGGCACCTGGTGCACGTTTGACAGAGGAACAGGTTAAGTCCTGCTTGGACTTCATTTGCTAGCTGTTATAGGATGAATTGTGCCTCCTAAAAACAGATAAGTTCAAGTCCTAACCCCCCCAGGACCTCACTCAGAATGTGACCTTATTTGGAAATAGGATTTCTACAGAGGTAATCAAGTTAAAGTGAAGTCATTAGGATGGGCCCGAATTCAATATGATTAGTGTTCTTAGTTTTTAAAAAAGGAAAATTTGGACACAGAGACAGACATGCATAGAGGGAAGACAACAGGGAGACACAGCAAGAAGGCGAGAAGACAGCCATCTATACACCAAGGAGAGACGCATTCAACAGACCCTGCTCTGCTGGCCCTCAGAAAGAGCCAGCCCTGCCTACAGCTTGTTTTCAGACGTGTAGGCTTCAGAACTGTGAGTCAATAAGTGTATATTGTTTCCCACCCAGTTTATGGCACGTTGTTATGGCAGCCCTAGCAAACTCCTGCAGTAATGATTCCTGTGTCTGGAAGTCACTTTGTTTCTCTGAATCACTAGCCAGAAGCTAGTAACTCCTATTTTCTTTCTGAAGTCTGTGAGCTTTGCTTTTCTAGCATATCTATGTCTCTCTCTGCTTCTGTCTCTTTCTCTACTCTTTCTCTCTCACACATACATCCCACATGCACACGTGCACAAACACGCGTGCACAGGTGCACCACAAGCTCACAAGTCCCGTTCTCCCTAAGACTTCCCCTTTTCCTCCAGACACTTCCACTTCACCAATTTATTCCTTGTTTGTCAGAGTTGTGTCTCAAGTAACACGTCCCCGCACTGCTTTTTCATCTTTCTGTCAAAGCATATTAGGCCAAGAATGAAATCCACTACAATGCTTACAACAGAACAGAGCATCTAATGGCTGTGCCCATCAGCCCAGTTGGTCTCTTCCCCCTCAGCTACATTGAGGATTTCCTGAAAAGGACAGCAGCACAACACTAGAAGCCAGGCCAAAGGTCAGGACCTCGAAGAGCAACATCCCTTGTTTCTCTTTTCTTCCCCACCAGTACACCCCATGGTACCTCCACCAGCTTTCAGTACATTAAATCATGCTACTCTCCTGCTCAAAATCCAGCAATGCCTCCCTATTGCACTTAAAACTAAATTTCAACTTGTAGAAGCCTCTCCAGATTCACTGGATGCCTGTAAGACCCTCCCCGCCTCAGAATTTGGATGTGATCATCCCTCTGCTTACAAGACCTTTGCTCCACCTCCCTTGCCCTCTGCCTAGCTAAGCTCAACTGTCAGTTTCTTAAAGCAGCTTCCTCTGATCTTGTATTAGCCTCTTATTAGATGCTCTCAAAGAAACTTGTTATTTCACCAAGGATTTGTCAGTTTCTACCTATATATTTATATTGGTGATCATGTGATTAATGTCTTTCTCTCTTACCAGACTGGAAATACAATAAGGGTTGGACCCTTTTTCATTCTGCCCCCCAGTGACTCCCCAGTCCCTACTGTAGTGTGCATGGCATACAGGAGAGACAATATTTCTTTAAGTAAATGAATGAACTGAGTTCTACTCTTTGACCCACTGCAATGACATCAGTTTATTTGCATGAAGGGAATTCTTACCACCATGGAATTCTTGTCAAGTCTCATCCAACCAAGTCTTGGTGATGACTTTGCACTCCTACCAGCCTCATGTTGCAATTTCAACTTTATATCATTTATTAGATCATTGTATTGGTCAGGGTCCAGGGGGAAGCAGATGGCACTCTTAGATGGGGTAAGTGAGGAGAGTTAATAAAGGAACTGGTTAAGTTGTGTGGTCAGGGGTAAGAGAAATCAGCAAGGGATGGAGCTAGCAACAGTGGGATCTGTTACTATGCCAAGACCCGAAGGTGGAAGAAGAAGGGTAGATGCTAGACTGAGAAGAGTTGCCACAGCAGAGCCCAACATGACAGGAGCTGTGGTCTCTGAAGAGGAATGGAGTCAGCATAAGGAGACCCAGCTGGGAGGGAGCCAGAAAATAGATATCCTGATTTCACTGTCTTCCCACTTTCCAGTCTTCTGCTGGTTGACTCTGATTGGCTGAACCGCATCAAAGCCAGAAGGCCTGAGAGCCCCTCTGAGGGATCCATAAAGATCAGCCTCCAGGGCCTGGGCCAGACCAGTGAGTAGATGGACCAAAGACCTAGAGGAGAAAGCAAAGGTCCCAGCCCCACACTAAGACCACAGAAATACTGTTATTAATTGGGAACTTTGCTGCTTCTATTTTTCAGGGATGCCAGGCTTGTTTTCAACAATATCCAATTTTCATGGAAGATGGATATTCATCGTTTCCGCTTTCTCTCAAATTTCAGTTTTTAATTATATTGATCAGGTGAAAGATTTTCCTGCCAAGCACCATCGCCATGTTCCCCTTCAGATGTATACTTTTAAAAAAGATGTATTACTATTATTATTTTTATTTTTATTTTGTGGGTACATAGTAGGTGTACTTATTTATGGGGTACATGAGATGTTTTGATACAGGCATGCAATGTGAAATAAGCACATCCTGGAGAATGGGATATCCATCTGTCCCCTCAAACATTTATCCTTTGAGTTACAAACAATCCAATTACATTCTTTGCATTATTTTTAAATATACAATTAAGTTATTATTGACTACAGTCATCCCATCGTGCCATCAAACAGTAGATCGTATTCATTCTTTCTAGTTTTTTGGTAGCCATGAACTATCCCCACCTCCCCCTCAAGATGTACTCTTTTCCTGGTAGAAAGTTCATTTGTTATCATGGAAGTGTTAGTTCAGAAGACCCAGCTCTGATTTTTAAAAATTATTATAGGTACATAATAGGTGAATATATTTATGGGGTACATGTAATACATGAATACGACATTTAATGACGGAATTAGGGTAAATGCAGTATTCATCACCCCAAGCCCTTATTACTTCTTTGTGTTGGGAATATTCCAATTCCACTCTGTTGGGTAATTTTAAAAATACAATAAATTATTGCTGACTTTAATTATCTTATGGTGCTTCCAAATACTAGATGGTATTCATTCTATCTAACTGTATTTTTGTACCCATAAGCCACCCCCACTTTATCACCTATTCACTGCTACCCTTCCCAGCCTCTGGGCAACCATCGTTCCATTCTATCTCCATGAGTTTAATTTTTTTTTCATCTCCCACATATAAGTGAGAACATGTGATACTTGTTTTTCTGTGCCCGGCTTCTCACTTAATGTGTTCCAGTTCCATCCATGTTGTCGCAAATGACAGGATTTCATTCTTTTTATGGCTGGGCACTATTTCAATGTTTATATGTTCCACATTTTCTTTATCCATTCATCTGTTGATGGACACTTAGGTTGCTTCCATATCTTGGCTATTGTGAACAGTGGCTGCAAAAACACAGGCATGCAGATATCTCATCTATATACTGATTTCCTATTTTTTGGATATGTGCCCAGCAATTGCATTCCTGGTTCATATGGTAGCTCTATTTTTAGCTTTCTGAGGAAAGTCCATACTGTTCTCCATAGTGGCTGTACTAATTTACATTCCCACCAACAGTGTACAAGGGTTTCCCTTTCTCTCCATCCTCACCAACATTCATTATTGCCTGTCTTTTGGGTAGGAGCCATTTTAACTGGGGTGAAATTATGTATCTCATTGTAGTTTTGGTTTGTAATCCCCTGATAATTAGTGATTTTGAGCATTTTTTCAAATACCTATTGGCCATTTGTGTCTTCTTTTGATAAATGTCCATTCAAAACTTGCCCATTTTAAAAATCAGATCATTTGTTTTTTTCCTACTGAGTTCCTTGAGCTCCTTAGATACTCTGGTTATTAATCCCTTGTCAGATGGATAGTTTGCAAATACTTTCTCCCATTCTGTAGGCTCTCTCCTCCGTTGATAGTTGTTGTTGATTGTTTCCACTGCTGTGAAGCTTTTTAGCTCGATGTGATCCCATCTGTCCATCTTTGCTTCACTTGCCTGTGCTTCTGAAGTCTTACTGAAGAAATCTTTGCCAAAACCAGTGTTCTGGAGTGTTTCCCCAATGTTTTTTTCTAGTAGTTTCACAGTTTCAGGCCTTATATTTAAGTCTTTAATCCATTTTAATTTGATTCTTATAGTGGAAGATAGGGGTCTAGTTTATTTCTTCTGAATGTGGATTTCCAGTTTTCTTATTAAAGAGACTGTCTTTCTATCGATGTGTGTTTTTGGCACCTTTGTCAAAAATGAGTTGATAGTAAATGTGTAGAATCATTTTTGGGTTCTCTATTCTGTTCCGTTGTTCTACATGTCTGGTTTTTTTGTATTGTTTTGCTTTGTTTTGTTTGAGACAGTCTTGCTCTGTTGCCCAGGCTGGAGTGCAGTGGCACAATCTCGGCTCACTGCAGCCTCCACCTCCCAGGTTCAAGCCATTCTCTTGCCTCAGCCTCCCAAGTAGCTGGAATTACAGGCATGCACCACCACATCTGGCTTTTTTTTTTTTTTTTTAGTGGAGATGGAGTTTTACCATGTTGGCCAGGCTGGTCTTGAACTTCTGGCCTCCAGTGATCTGACTGCCTCAGCCTCCCAAAGTGCTGGGATTACAGGCATGAGCTACCACACTCAGCCCTATGTTTCTGTTTTTATGCCAGTATCATGCTGTTTTGATTACTTTAGCTTTGTAGCATAATTTTAAGTCAGATAATGTGATTCTTCCAGGTTTGTTCTTTTTTGTTCAAGATGGCTCTGGCTCTTCTGGGTCTTTTGTTGCTCCATATAAATTTTAGGATTATTTGTTCTATTTCTTTGAAAAATGTCACAGATATTTTGATAGGATTGCAATAAATCATTACCTTGCTTTGAGTAGTATAGATATTTCACCAATTTCGATTCTCCCAGTCCATGAATATGGAATATCTTTCCTTTTTTGTGTGTCCTATTCAATTTCTTTCATCAATGTCTTATAGCTTTCATTGTAGAGATCTTTCACTTCTCTCGTTAAGTTTATTCCTAGATATTTTATTTTATTTGTAGCTGTTGTAAATGGAATTACTTTCTTTCTTTTTCAGATTTTTCACTGTTGGCATATAGAAATGCCCCTGCTTTTTGTATGTTAATTTTGCATCTTGTAACATTACTGAATTTATCTGTTCTAACAATTTTTTGGTGGAGTTTTTAGGTTTTTCTAAATATACTAGCTCTGACCTTTAACACTAGCTGACCACTCTCCATGGTTTGCTTTCTCTGTCAGAGTTACTCCATACAAAAGTAAGAGAGATGCAAATGCTATTTGGTCTTGCCTTCAAGCCTCCAACTCACCCCCTGCAATTGCTGCAGCTTCCCAGGGCCTCCAAGCTCTAAGGTTCCATTGGGAGGTTAAATACCCTCCATTTCGGAGGCATCTCCCTAGGACCCAAACTATGCAATTCCACATGATCTTGCCTCTTGGAGAAGCAAGCCCACTCAATTCTTGCTCTTGCTCTGAGGAGCAGGCCCCCTCATGCAGGAATAGATACCCTCATGTATTTCTCCATCTCTGGGATTCTAGGGTTCAGTGAGCTCTGTTTCCTCATTTCCCGGATCCCTGACACCATACTCAGGCACCTTCTCACCTTTCTCTCACCTGACCTTAGTGCTCAGTGCTTTCTGCTTCAGATCAACCACTGTGATGTGGAGCCTACTGGTTATGGAACATTCTTACCCATATGGCCATAGGCTGAATGTGCCCTCCCTCTTCAAGTTCTAACATTTCCTGTTATAAATATCTTATAAATGGCTAAGAAGTTCTCCATTGTTGCTGAATACCCCATACTACTTCTTCCCTCATTTCTCGAACCTGATCTGTCTTTCTCATTGGCTGCTCCACATCTTTTTTCTCACTTTCAGAGAGACTGCACCCTCCTCCTTTCTGCCCTTCCCCAGTGGGTCAGCAGTGGAGGAAGGAATGCAGCGACTGGGATCTCCTTGCCTCCCAGCCCAGCAGAGGCTCACACTGTTGTACAGGAGAACAGTGTGTCTCAGAGGAGCACCCATTGGTGATGGTTTCCATCGCAGACTAGTGGGTGAGAACAGGTCTCCAAAGCAGGAAGCCCCATTGCCCAGGTTGCAATGTTCAGGGCTCAGGAGAATGTAGGATGGGAGGGCGCCAGGTAAGTGTGGCTGCCCTGCTCTTCAGCTGAACAAGGGATGCCCAGGGCCCCTTCCCAACACCCCACCTTCAGGCCTGTTTGGTTTCCTATGCTTTCTCTCAGATGGATTTTTTTCTCCCCTCTAACTATATTAAACATTAAAAAGAACAAGCCAAATCCTGAAATCCAAACACAATAAAAAGCAAAGACATCAGGAAAAAGAACAAGGGATAAAAGCTCTCAATCCAAGCCACAGACAAGAACCAGCTCTGACGTCCTTGGGCGCCCATGGGGTTAACCCTCTGCTGCCCGCGGGAAGCCACCTCCTGCACTCTGCCTCTCTCCTCGTCCTCTTCCCCTGCTCACTTTCAGAGGAGAGAGGGATGGTTTGTCTTCAGTCAGGCTATAGATAGATGGATTTAGTTCTCTATTTTTGCCAGACCTGCATACACTCACCTCCACCCCACCTCACCACCCTCAAACCTTTTGTCTCAGCACTTCCTTCCTAAACCAGAGCCAAAGACATTTCCCTGGTGAAGCTGAACTACAGCCAGACTGCTCTGGGGGAGCAGAATGAGACGAATACCTTGGGTATACTTCTCACCACCACTTGCCTTCTTTCTTACACAGACTCTCCCCATGAGACAGTCACAGTGTCTTCTGCGTTCCATCTTTGTGCCATCATTGACAGCTTTTGTTGTTCTGTAGGCACAAAGCAGTGGACAAAGGACCCCTGATGATTTAAGCCACACCCCTTACCTCCTCTGAGAGCCAAAGCGAGGCTCCTCCAAGGAAAAGAGGGCAGGGGCTCCTTTTAGAAGCCCCCATCCTCTAAACCAGATGTTAAGTCAGCAGCGCAGCTTACCAAGGGCAGCATTTCCACCACTCCATTAAAATTACATTTTCTCCATTTTGAAACAAAAGGGAATTTGAGTTGAGGCTCCCAATCCCCCACACCACAGCACTGTGGGATAAGGGGACAGCAACCAAGCAGCACACTAGACATTTATGGACAAAATCTGGCTAAAGACACTCAAATACCCCCCCATGCCAGAGGCACCCCCCAGTAGATCTCTTACACCAGCCAGGAGCCAGGTGATCCCCTGAATTGCTCTGAGCTCCGGGGTGAAGCCTGAATGAAAGCGTACACTAGATGGGGAATAAGATGTTACTCCTGGGACTGTGAACAGAAGAACTTTGGAAAGAGACCTTTCTCAGGCCTGAAGTTGTTACCACTGAAGACGAGGATCAGGATCAGCTTGTCTGCCCAAATCCCATGGGTGGGGGTGTCTCATAAATACAGAAAGGGGATGTGGAAAAGGAGAGGAATACAGACACCAGTAGTTTCTTCAAAAGGCTCTGTTAGAACATAAAGCACAAAATATTCACTTATTCTTTCAAAACATATCAACAGCATTCGAGTCACTTGTCCTTGGAGATGCATCAGTGACAGCAATAGGCATAACCCTTGTCGTGACCCTGGACTAACAGCCTGGTGTGAAAGACCATGCGCCAAGGACCTGGCTTCCAGCTCCAGTTTCCTTCCCAGAGCCACTATTCAGTTTCCGCATCTATAAAATGGAAGTGCCAGGTGCTTTTTATTGCCTTATGGAGCTCGAAGAAGAAAGAGATGAAAATTTCTTAATTTTAATTAAAATATAACAGGAGATATATGCCCGCAAAGAATCGAAGGCAGGATTCATATTCATTCACGTTCATAGCAGCATTTTTCGCAATAGCCAAACAGTGGAAGCAACTCAAGTATTCATGGTGAGATGTATGGATAAGCTAAAATATGGTATATCCATTCAGTGAAATATTAGCCTTAAACAGGAAGGAAATTCTGACATATACTAGAGCACGGATGAATCCTGAAGAAATCATGCTAAACAAAATAAATCAGACATGAAAGGACAAATATTCTGTGATTCTTCTTAGATGAGTTTCCTAGAATAGGCAAATTCATAGAAACAGAAAATAGAATGGGGGCCACCAGGGGCAGAGAGGAAGCGGAAATGGAGAATTATTGTTTAATGCGGAGAGTTTGTTTGGGATGAAGAGTTCTGGAAACAGACAGTGGTGACTGCTGTGCAGTATCGTGAATGTACTTAATACCACTGGACTGTACATTTAAAAATGATAGATATTGTTATGTATATTTAACACACACATGTGTTTGTGTCTGTGTGTGTATATATATATACACACACATATATATATAAAACCACTTAAAGCCCAGCTTAGTATTCTAGAGTTTCTAGTATGAATCAGAAGACTTTGCAAGGAGGAGGTGTGGAGGACCTGTTTAGTGAACAGCTCTGTGCCGGGGGTCAGATCTCTATCCCATAACACAAGTCCAGGCTCTCAGAATAAGGAAGGCATTAACTTGGATCAGGTTACCCTAGAAATGACATCATCTGATCAAGCCTCCCAGCCACTGTTCAAACACAGAGGTGCCAGGTGAGTCCCAGAAAAGAGAGAAGAGACCCTAGGAGAGGGCGTAAGACATAGCTACATGTAAAACAAATTCTCTCTTAAAAGAGCAGCCACAGATCAGCTCCGCTATTGATACACAAGACTGTAGGTTCAGTGTGGCCACATCTTCAAATTCTGCAAAAACAAACAAGCCCAAAATCTAGAATTTGAAAGCAAGAAATGTAATCTGTTGGCAACTCATTAAAATCTTTTAAAAAATACACTGCTGTCCAAACCAAACACCTTTGTAGGTGAGAACAAACTCATAGACCACCTATTTATAAACTCTGTTCTTCTGGATGTGTGAGTGGTTGGCATTTGCCCGAATCCTTCTGATGACAGAGGAGCTCATTTCTTACTGATATTGTGACAAATTCTACTTTTTTAAAGACAGGGTCTTACTCTGTCACCTAGGCTGGAGTGCAGTGGTGTGATCACAGCTCACTGCAGCCTCAACATCCTGCTGGGCTCAAGCCATCCTCCCACCTCAGCCTCCCAAGTAGCTGGGACCATAGGTAGTTGCCACCACACCCAGCGAATTTTTGCATTTTTTGTAGAGACAAGGTTTTGTCATGTTGCCCGCACTGGTCTCAAACTCCTGAGCTCAAATGATCTGCCTGCTTCAGCCTCCCAAAGTGCTGGGATTACAGGCATTAGCTACCACGCCTGGCTGATAAATGCTAATTCTCAGGAAGATATGGCTGTAAATAAAAAATCTACCTTCTTGTAACTTCCTCTCGCTGTGTTCCTGTACCCCCCAACATCCACCTGTCATCCTAAACAAGAGAGCAGTTACATCCCTGTTTGGCCAGTGCCATTTTCCTAACTGGAATCTGAGTTGTTTGAGGACAGTGGTTATCTTTCATCTCAAAGTAAGGATAATAATAGCCAACATTTATTGAGCACCTATGTGCCAGACACTATTCTAAGCACTTTATAAGCATCAACTCATTTATCCCTTAAGAGAGCACTATGAGAGAGGTCCTATTATAACCACCTTTCATAGACAAGGGGAAGATGGACAAGAGATGCTAAATAGGTTGTTCAAGGTCACATACCTAGTAAGCAGCAGAGCCAGAACTGGAACCCAGACAGTCTGGCTCAAAGGTGATGCTCATAACACTCAAGTACTTATGGGGACTGTCACATGCATTCAGTAATTGTCTGTTGATGTGAAATTAAGAAAAACAATACCGGTTCTTTCTTCTGGAACCATAAAATGAACAGGTCTTCACAACACCAACATTAGAGATGGATTCCAACATACGAAAAGATGTAAAAATGAGAAAGGAGAAAGGAGGCCTTTTACAGTGGTCATGAAGCGTCAAGTTAGACACGAAGCAGAGCGTCCTGATGTTGACGGCTTTGAGCCAATGGAATAGAGAATATAAAGATATTCTTTCTGGCTTTGGAGATCCATTTAACAACAACAAAAAAAAAAAAACAGAAAAGATGGGGAAGACCAATGTTTCCAGGACGGCTTTTCCACCTGAAGTTATCCACAGGCAAGTATTACAAAGAAACGTGGGACTGGGCATGGTGGCTCCCACTTGTAATCCCAGAGCTTTGGATGGCAGAAGCAGGAAGATCACCTGAGGCCAGAAGTTCAAAAACAGCCTGGGCAACAAAGCAAGACCTCTGTCTCTACAAAAAAATTAAAAATCAGCCAGCTGTGGTGGCACATGCCTGTAGGTCTAGCTACTCAGAAGGCTGAGATGAGAGGATGGCTTCAGCCCAGGAGCTCAAGGCTGCAGTGAGCTATGATCACATCACTGCATTCCAGTCTAGGTGACACAGCAAGACCCTGTCTCTAAGAAAAGGAAAAAGAAATTAGCCTTCTAATTCCTACTCCTCTAGGTTCCCCCAGGGAGCCTAGAACAGTGGTCTTCTGAGCATACGTGCTTACTGGTCTCATGCCATGTTTTATCATAGATCAAGGTAATTGAGGGCAAAGAGACTAAAGATTCACAGGTAAAACCCTGTATACTAAAATATAACTACATATGGGATGGGCATGCTGGCTCATTCCTGTAATCCAAGCACTTTGGGAGACCAAGGCAGGAGGATTGCTTGGGGCCAGGGGTAGAAGGCTGCAGTGAGCTGTGATCATGCCACTCCACCGCAGCCTGAGTGACAGAGCAAGACTCCATATCTTTAAAAAAAAAATACATGGGGTCAGAATTTGGCATAGGATATCCAGACTCAGAGCATCTTAGAGTGGGAAGGAGCTCAAGAAATAATCTCATCTGATCCAATCTCCCATATACAGCGAGAATGCCTTCCAATACATTCCAGACAGGTAGACATTCACTTCTTATCAACACCTGCCAACCATAGCTCTTGAACCAGCCCGCACAGCTTCAAAGAGAAGTGAATCACAGATAGCTGGTGCAGGGAGGAAGCCCAAAGGTTACAGTCAGTTTGGGGGAAATTAGGGAGGAAGAAAGAACTTGATATGCGATTTACTCAGCAAAACATTTTTTTGCATGTCCATATGGACAATTGTGAATAAAGCCAGATCTGGTGTGTTTCTGCTCCCTCCCGTGTGCTCTTGCCTTTCATGCCATCTCCAGGTGGCCTCAGTGTTAAGGCGGATGAGAGAATATGAACTAGACCTGAACCCAGCCCACATCCTGGGACCAAGTTTAGCTAACATGCCTCCCGAAGCAGAGATGCCCAAACCACCACCACAAACCCATTAGTGGGAAAATAATTAATGCTTATTATTGTAAGTCACTAAGTCCTGGGGCAATTTGTTACATAGCATTACTGTAGCAACAGTTGACTAATACAGACTTGTCAGTGAATTAGGCATCTGCTGTTTTTGTCCCTCATCTTCCATGCACCTTTCCTCTCTTCACCACCTCTGGATGTTCTCTGGAAACCACTTCCTCTCAATCTCTCAGTCCCTTACTTTGGGTAGGAGTAAGTTCACAGAGCACCACAGTCCACTGACCACCACAACTGGTTCAGGAGAGACCCATGTCCAATGAAATTGTTGCCAGGGATGCTGGGAGAGGCACAGACTCTCCTAATGGACTTGAATCCAGGATGGTGTAAGATTGGAAGTCCTGCAGCCATCTTACAATCAGACAGAAGGGGTCCATCTGGGAATGGAGCCTGCCAGGAAGAAAGCAGAGCCTAGATATGGAAAGAAAGAGAAAAACCAGGTGTCTATTAAGCCCCTACATGAAGGCAGACCTGAAGGTAACTCTGCCCCATAAACCTCCCAATTGTGTGACCTAAAAAAAAAAAAATTACCTTAAGCCAATCAGACTGGGTTTTTAGTCACTTGTGACTGAAGGATCCCCGACTCTCTTAAAATGCTTGCCTTTCAACTAACCAACCCATTAAGAAATCTTTCTGGGGCAACTATGGTACTCTGAGAACCAGGGTATACAGAGGGGGCAAAGTACATACCTGGCCCTTACAACGTAATAAAGGAAAAGCCTAACAACTATAAAAAGGCTTAATAGTCCAGGAATCAATAACATGTATTTGTTCTTGGTTAGCAGCACTTGACCGGGTGATTTGCCATCAAGGCATCTGATATGGTTTGGCTGTGTCCCCACCCAAATCTCATCTTGAACTGTAGTTCCCACAGGCCCCATGCTTGTGGGAGGAACTTGATGAGAGGTAATTGAATCATGGGGGTGATTACCTCCGTGCTGTTCTCAAGAGAGTGAGTTCTCAGGATATTTGATGGTTTTATAAGGAGCTTTCCCCACCTTTGAGTTGAGCTTCCTGTTGCTGCCATGTGAGGGACATGTCTGCTTCCCCTTCAGCCATGGTTGTAAGTTTCTTGAGGTCACCCCAGCCCTGCAGAACTGGGAGTCAATTAAACCTCTTTTCTTTATCAATTACCAAGTCTTGCGTATTTCTTCGTAGTGCAGTGAGAATGGACTAATACAGCATCTTGGCCAAGAGGTGCCCCGCTTTTGATATCTAAAGCAGGACAGAAAGTGAAAGAAGAGGGTAGGAATGAGGCCTTTCTTGACAAGGCTCACCAGGAGACCCGTCAGAACCGTCCAGAGACATCCCCTCAAACTTCTCCCTGAAGATGGGCTGACATCTTACAACACTTGACACCTGCTGCGGTCACTCCCGTATTGCCAAGCCCCCAAACATGGCCATCCAAACCCAACACTGGCCAGTCTCTAGGGCTTCAAGGATTAGAATATCATGGGAACCTCTCAATTATTTTGTCCTTTAAAAAATTATCTCCACCACAGACATTCCAGTATTCATGGAGAACAAGCCTTTTAGGGTAACTTGGGTGCATTTTCTCTGGGAAGAAGTACAACCACCAGCATCCCTCCCTGTGACAACCCTTGAAACAGGGTCAAGGGCAAGCTCTTATAAAAGGATTCAAACATGGCAGGGGAGGGCATATAAAGAACGTTTCCCCACGCTATATGGACTTATGGGGGATGACTGGCTTGTCTTGAATGTACCAGGCAGTTTTACACCTCCATGATGTGGCCCAATTCCTCCTGCCTTGTCTGCTTTTCTGCTCCAGTTCTAATCTGCTTTTGCAATCAGCCCAAGCATTACTTCCTCTGGGACATTGTGGCAGGCTGCATTATCGGCCAAGATATTCGCCACCCCTTCCCACTGGCCTGACCCTGTGGAAGGATTATACTTCTGGCTCCATTTACAGCAAACCTAATCACATGACTTGCTTGGCCAATGAAACCTTGAGAGGGAGTGACAGATGCCACTTTGCAACAGAAACCATTGCATAGCTCTACCATTTTTATTTTCCCTCTGCCAAGAGACTATGGAGGAATTACGCCTTTACCCTTGGTTCCAGAAGGAACAGAGTTTAAAACAGAACCTCAGGAGACCTCTGGTGGACGTGAATGTGAGAACAATAAAAGCTTTATTGCTTTTTAACCACTGAGATGTTAGAGTCATTTGTTACTGCAGCCTACTGTAGCCCACACTGACTGACAGACTAACCTGGGTGGATTTCAGCTTCTTCCCTTATGTTCTCATTGCACCTCATGTGTAATCCAGTCGCACCAATTACCTCACTGTGATATAATCATCTATTGTCTTCCCACTGGACCTGAAACTCCTCCGCATCAGACTCCAGGTTGCCTTGGCTACGTTCCCCCAGTGCTTTGCACAAGCCATGGAACACAGGAGGCCCTCAAAAACGGGAATTAATAAATGGCCAGAGAATCCTGAAGCTCTGCCCTGCCCTTTCTTCCCCAAGGAGTGTAGCCCTCTCCTGAGACTCTCTGCACATAAATCCCTGTCTTCAAGGTGACATTAAGTGACAAAATCAACTGAAGTCAAAACACAAGTTGCTAACCTGTACGAAACAGCTATCCTAAGAAGAATTCTGAGATGACAGTGTGGCATGGAACTTTCTGAAGGACATCCTGAAATTTCTGATGTTGCAGGCAACCAGATTCAACATAGCCATTAGGAGGGACCTGGGGAAACTGAGCTATCTGCCCAGACTTCTCTTTGGGGGCTGATGGATCTTGTCTGCCAGGCAGTTTTGAAGCCTCCCAGGTCAAGCTCCTACATAGCCTCCACTGCTGGAGCCTAGGGTTCTCAGCACCCAGCTCGGAAGTCCGGCCCTGCAGCCTCTCTCCTGGTGAGACTTCAGCCCAGGCGACTGCCGCCTGGAAGAGGGTATAACAGGTCTGTCTCCCAACCCCAGGCTGGAGAAGGGACAAAGCTCACTCAGAGGAGTGAGCAGATACCCTCTAGAGCAGTGTATAACCACCAGGAGGGCACTTCTCGGTTGAGCATGTCTTGCTTTTCATAATATTTATTTTCTCATCCTACCTCTCTCTCCGTGTATCCAACACACTGCCTTATCTCGGACCCTGCGTCAGAAGCAATGCATCCCAGGGTAGGGAGCCTCAGGGTCAGGCCTTGCTGCCCAGTTACCAGGGGCAGCGAGTGCGTCTTCTGGGTGCTAAGCGGAACCAAACCACAATATTTACCCCGGGGCGGACACGTGCGGAGCGATCTACATGGGAAGGGTGGAAACGAGCTGGTGTTTGGGCTCCATCTCCTCCTGCACAATTCCTGTTTGTTTTTCCACTACCCTGTTCCAAGAAGGGGTACAGAATGGGGCCGTGTGGACAGTCTGCCTGTAGCCCCACTACAACCCTCCGTGTCAGCACCCAGGTGGACTCGGGAGGCAGGGGTGTGAAGGCCCAGAGGAAGACACGGGCGTTTTCCATGCCTCAGGAGCAACCAGGTGCAGGATAGAGGCACAGGACTGAATCCTGTAGAGCGAATTAGGGGCACCGCAGGGCACACACAGCGGCTGGGCCAGGAGCGACCTGGCTCCGGAGCCCGGGCAGGGTGGGGGAGGGGACAGGTAAGTGGGTTGCCTAGCAACCCGGCCGACCCGCGGGTGGACAACCTCAAGGGGCAGCCAGGAGCCACCCCACCCCCCACCCCGCCCCACCCCCGAGCGCACGCTGCGGAATTCTGCCGGCACGAAGCAGAGTCACGAGCGCAGCCGGAGCAGTGGAGCGGGCAGGACACCGTCAGCATAGGGAGAACACGAGCGCGTGGGTGGTTGGGGGAGGGTCCTCACAACCAGTCGCACCCCCCCCACCTCTATCCCGCATCCTGGCTTCTCCTCGCCCCAAATCTAGGGGAATAAAAACGCAGAGCGTCCGGGAGAGCTTCAGGGGGCACTGGGGAGGGGGCTTCCCCAGGCGTGGGGGGGGGCATCACGCAGCCCTCAGCGCCTGACCCTCCAGCCCAAGGCGGCTTCCTCCCCACCTTCCTTCTCCTTGCCCTCCACACCACCCGCCCCTTCTTCTCCCACAGTTCCGGCTCGGGCGCCGCATCGCCGCCCCCGCGCGGGAGCTCTCCGGGCGGGGGCGGTTCGCAGCGGCGCGGGGCGGCACGGGGAGGGAGAGGGAGGGGCGGGGCCGCGCTGCTACGTCACAGCCGCGAGAGGGGATCCTGGGCGCAGGCCCCGCCCCCTCACGTGCCCAGGGCGCAGGGCCGCGTGCCGCCCGCGTGACCTGCAGGCCCTGCCCGGCCGCCGCCTCCGCTGCTGTTAGGCTTCCACGCGTGGGAGGGAGGCCGTGACGCGGGGGGCGGCTGGCTTAAGGAGGCTGCAGGAAAGTCTTCCTTAGTGGCCGCGTCCCTGTCCCAGGCCTTGGTACCCTGGCCGTACCAGGAGCTCTGTGTGGAGAGCTCTGTGTCCGCCTGGATTTGAGAAAAGGGGGTCTCCCCTCCCTACGCCCTCTGCCCCTGCATTCCACGCTTAAGAGAAGGAGCCAGGGTAAGGGGCTCTTCACTAAGGGATGAGGTGGTTCAGATTTAAACCTAAGTTTCGGAGATAGATGGCGAAGAGCTTTTGAAATTGGGGGTGGAGTCCCCACAGCTGTCTGTTCAGCCTCAATTACTGTGCCTGTGACCCTGGGCCAGGAAGTCCTCCCTTCTTGCAACCTGGGCTCAGCCCAGCACCCAGCTGAGGGCATGAGCAAGAATCCAGCATCCTTTATGGTTCTTTGGTTGGTGACTTACTGATTCCCTCAGCCCACCCCCCCCCCATTTCTCCTCCTAGAAATGACAAGCAGAGCATTTGGAAAGAAGCAGTGAGGGGTGGAGACCACGGACAGACCAACCCCCAAATTGAGCGTCCCCACACAGAGTCGAAGGAAACCCATTATCTGTGCCTTTGTAACGTGTCCTTAAGTGACCCATTTGCCTGCAAGGTGTCAGGTACTGAGGGAATCCACAAAGCCGGTTGCTGTCTGAAAATTCGTGTCTCTACTAGTTGTTATTTTCAATAGCTGGTGAAATTGAAATCGCCTTTGCAAAAATTATAAAATGGTTACAGTGAAGGACATCTGACCTAACCGGCTCCATCTTGCTTCTAACCTCCAAGCAGTCCCTTGTTCATTCCTGGGAGGGACTTACAATTTAGCTTTGAAACAAAGATGATAACAGCCCTTTCTCAAGACAAACCCCCTTCTTGTCTAAAGACCAAACTGCCTTTGTGCTAAGTAACAAATTAGCCGTAAGATTAGAAATTATGGTTTAGGACTCATGCCGCTAGAGGCCACAAAATTCTTAGCCTCCCCAATTGCTTCTAGGGATGACATCACTATTAGAAAATCTAAGATTGGTGCTGAAGATATTTTTCAGACCCTACAGTTGATGGATCAGCTGGCGTTACCCAGATTGATAAACTGGCTGTCTGGTCCTGTGGCCCCTACCCAGGAACCTACTTCGCGCAAGAGGACAACTTTGACACCGTCTGATTTTGTCTCTGACAAACCAATCAGCACTCCCCACTCCCTAGCCCTCTACCCATCAAAGTATCCTTTAAAAACCTTAGTCTGGAATTTTCAGGGAGGCTGATTTGAGTCATAATAAAACTCTGTTCTCCTGATCAGCCGGCGCAGTGTGAATTCAACTTTCTCTACTGCAATTCCCTGTTGATAAATCTGTTCTATCTGGGAAGCAGATAAAATGAACCTATTTGGAAGTTTAAAAGTGGGGGTTGGGGGGCTACCTGGGTTAAGCACTCCAGAGTAGGAGCCTCTAAATTAAACCCTCTCCATGAAAAGCCATACATGGTATGGCAGAGAGCCTGGATTCCGGAGTTAGGGAAGCCACCTGCCAACCAAATACCAAGCACTGGAGGAGGGGCAAGGTGTGAGGCAGACTGGGGAGCTCATAGAATCTGATGGAAACTGACCCAGGCCCATTCCCAGACCCATTTCCTGAGGGAAATCGTAGGGTTGGCGCCTTAACTTTTACAGGGATTGTATTTCCGAGGCAAGGGTTATTCTCCTAGGATAGTTCTAAGGAAGGCAAAACCTAAGCTTGTTTATTGCTGGGATGGCCAGGAAGTGGAGTAATAGGAAGAGAGCTGGGGGCAGGGAGTGGGTCCCTTTGGCTGCGTGTCTGGATTTCAGGGTATCTGGACAAGTGCCTTTCTACTGTTGGCTTTCCAAACTCACTTATATGAGGAACGGGAGTGGTCAGTTTAATTGATTGAATGGGTACTGAGCGCCTGACACTGGGGAGAGAACACAGGGAGTGCCAGTTGATGTACTCGATCGACAGGAATTTCTGTCTCCTGGGAGAAGTACTATGTTCTGGAAGTACTTGACAAAATGTCAGTGGGTCTGTGAGGTTAAGAGCCAACACGAGCAGTGTAGACAAGTGCTTTGATAGAAAGGAGAAAGCAACAGAGGCCAAGGAGCCGAAGAAGGGGGAAGATCTGGATAAATGGAGAGGAGCTTTGGGTGCTGAGAATTGCAAGAGCAAAGGCAGAGAGGAAGGAGTGTTTCTGGAGAGCCCACTGGTCAGGAAGAAAGCTGGCTTGGCTGGAGCAAAGGGTGCAGGATTGGAGAAGGCCAAAGATCTGCTTGACGAATGAGTCTGCTGAGGCCCAAAGCAGAGGCTTCCAGGTTCTCCATCAGCCCCAGCTGCCCAGAACTTTGCAAAGCTCAGCACTGATCACATAAAACCATCCTCAGAAACATGCAGTGGCCCTCCATTGCCCAAATGCTATCATGGAACACAAGGCCTGTAGTGCTTTATCCCAAACCTACCTGGTCAGCTTTACTCCTGTTCCGCCTTTTCAGGCCCACCATATCCACAGAATTACTCCTGGGTCCTGAATGTGTCCTCTACTTTCTCCCTTTTTTGTCTTCAATTGCATGCTTTTTCCTTTCTTTGGAAAATTCTCTCCTCCCTCACCATTTCTGCCCACTCATCCTTGAAAACACAGCTCAAGTGCCAGCTCATCCCCCAGCCAGATGTAATTTTCATCTGAGTTTCCACAACATCGTGTACTCTATCTTGGCACCTCACATTCCACGTTGTATTGTGGATATGCAGAGACATAATCCTTCAAAGTAGATACGGCTAATTGGACCACTTCTCACCGCCTCCATCGCTGTCAGCCTATTCCGAGCCGCCATCATCTCTTGTCTGGACTGCTGGGATGGCCTCCCTATCAGCCCATTGCTTCCTTCTAGCCCTCTTTGGTCACTTCTCTCCAGAGCAGCAGAGTGATCCTTTTAAAACATAAATCAGATCATGTCACTCTCTTGCTCAAAACCCTACATGGTTTCTCATCACTTTCAGATGTTACTCAAGACTTAGTGTGAAGGTCAAGACCTATGTTATCTGGCCCTGTCTACCTCTCAGTCACCTACCACCCTCTGCTTTGCTCACTAAGCTCTGGCCGCTCTGTCTTTCTTCCTGTTTCTGCACTATTCCAAGCTTATTTCTTACTCAGAGTCTTTGCACTTGCTGGTCTCTATAAATGGAGTGCATTTCTTTTAGAATTTACATGGCATACTCCCTCACTTCATTCCTGTCTTGGGTCAAATACTTTCTCAGAGAAGCATTCCCTGACTACCTTATCTGGTATACGCCTTCTACCAGACACTCTCCATTTCCTTTTTATTTAGTGCCGTTACCACTATCAGAACCATATTATGTTTATTTGGTTATTTATTTGTTGATTGCCTGTCACTACCATAAGAAGTTAAGCTTTGTGATGTCAGAAACTTCCGTCTTGTTCACTGATGTAGAACCTTCCTCACATGTAGTAGGTACTCAATTTCCTAAATGAATAAAGGAGTGAATGAATCTAAGCTCTGCTACTACGTTCTTGGAGGGCAAGCACCATTTTTTATACATTTGAGTCCCCTTCTCCAAGACTTAGCTTCTTACACGTAAGTCCACTCAAATGCTTGTCTGAATTTCAGATTCTGCAGAGAAGACCTCCAGCTGCTTTTCCCCCATTAATGTAACTATACCTGTTTTAAAAAAAATCAGGAAATGGTCTTTACCTATCTTGTCACCTCCAGAGATGGCTCAGTCTTCATCACATTGATCCCTGGCAAGTCTACCAGATCACAGCTTCTCCAGTTGTGGATCTCAAGCCATTAAGGAGTTGTGACCTACATTTTTTGATAACATAGAACAAATGAGGAATTAGAAGAGTGCATCATAGGTTTTAAGGATAACTATTTTTTTTTCCATTGTGGGTATTGTCAGGTCATGATATAAAATGAACATCTGACCAGGCGTGGTGGCTCATGCCTATAATTCCAGCACTTTGTGAGGCCAAGGCAGGTGGATCACCTGAGGTCAGGAGTTCAAGACAAACCTTGTCAACGTGGCGAAACCCCGTTTCTACTAAAATACAAAAATTAGCTGGGCGTGGTGGCGAGCGCCTGTAATCCCAGCTACTTGGGAGGCTGAGGCAGGAGAATCGCTTAAACCCAGGAGGCAGAGGTTGCTGTAAGCTGAGATCACGCCACTGCACCTGGCCTGGGTGACCAGAGTGAGACTCCCTCTCAAAAAATATAATGATAATTTAAAAAGTTAACATCTTATTGTTGACCATTGTCTAAAAACTTGAAAGTTCTAGATGCCCCATAGATAGTCATTTTATAGAATGCATACCTATACTCTTAATATTTAAATAGCTAGCATTTATTGCAGGTTACTTTTGTGCTGGACACCTGTGTTACACTGTTTCACATGCATTGTCTCATGCAGTCCTCATTACAGTTCTGAGAGGAGGGTCTTTTTATAATTCTCATTTTATGAAGGGGGAAACTGAGGCTTAGAGAAATTAAATAACTTGCCTATGATCACAAAGCTGGTAAACAGCTAAGCAGAAGGCCTGCTTCCAGAGCTCTCCTGACCGGTTAGTCAGCCAGCAGCATCTTTTTTTTTTTTTTTTTTTTTTTTTTGAGACAGAGTTTTGCTCTTGTTGCCCAGGCTGGAGTGCAATGGTGCAATCTCGGCTCACTGCAACCTCCACCTCCTGGGTTCAGGTGATTCTCCTGCCTCAGCCTCCCAAGTAGCTGGGATTACAGGCATGCACCACCATGCCTGGCTAATTTTGTAATTTTTTTTTCAGTAGAGACAGGGTTTCTCCATGTTGGTCAGGCTGGTCTTGAACTCCTGACCTCAGGTGATTGCCTGCCTCAGCCTCCCGAAGTGCTGGGATTACAGGTGTGAGCCCCTGTGCCCAGCCTCAGCATCTATTTTTTAATTTCATGTTAACTGAAAAAGCCCCCACAACTGTGGTTTATTTCAATAAAATAAACATGACTTACCCAGCATTCTGATGGAAGGCTTTTGGGTTTTTTTTGGTTGCTGGTAGGCACTGCTAGGCATGTGGACTGGAAGGACACAGACGCAGACAGTCCATTCCTTGGCAGGAAGGAAGGTGGGGAGTAAATACCATGCCATACCTTCCTCCCATCTTTGGATTTCCCTCTCAGGGGCCCCGCTGGCTGAACCAAGTATCAGGAGAGTCTGTTAATGCAATCCCTAGAGGTCAACCTCTCAGAACAGAGTGGAGTGAGTGCGAGGTGGATCTGGAGGGCAAATGCAGAGCCCCCTGCTTACCATCTTCAGCACCGGTGCAGATTAACACGAACTCCCAAGGCCTTTGAATGCCAAGCCTCCGGCTACTGCAGTACTTCACAGCTCGCCCCAACTCTCACCTCTCCCTTGAGGACAACATCTGAACTGGCCAGGTGGGGCATTGTGCAGGCTTGGGCCGCACTGCAAGCCCCTCCCTTGGCCCTGTCTTTTATTCACTAGGCTGCCAAGGGAGGAAAACCAGGCCAGAAAAAGAACCAGCCCCCTTCATCCACCTTTAGAGTTTGCAGCTCTGCCAGCACTTGGGCATCTTGTTCGTGATCTAATCATGGACCAGGTCAGTGGGTTTTTATACAGTCTGGGGATTTGATTGGGAATGGCAGAAATTTCTTCCTGCCAGGATTTTGCTCTCTTCCAAGCTGAAACCTCCTGGAGCAAGGAAGCAGGGCAAAGAGAGTGTGTGTATGCATGTACATGTGTGTTAGTGTGTGTGTATGTGTATGTGTGCGTGTCGGGAGAGGGGCAGAATGCAACCTTCTAAAGGCATGTTCTTGCTGTTCATACTTACCCAGCCTTTGCAGGCGAATGTGTGGCTGCAGTTGTGGTTAAAATATGAATGAATGTGGTGGTGTGCAGGTGCGTGAATGACTGTAAGTTTCTGTGAATGAATGCATTTGTGATGAAGGGTGCATGGGAGCCCTTGGGAGCTGGGGTAGTTGTTTGCAGGTGCCTGGCTGGCTGGCTGGCTGGAAGCATCCACTGATCACTATCTTTACCAAAGTCTATGAGTGTTGGGTTGAGGGGGGAGGAGGGGAATACTTCGCTTTCTCACAACACCTCCCTTTTGTTGCTGCCACTGCTGCGTGGCAATCTCCTTGTCCTCCCTGAAGCCCCAGAGAAGAAAGTCGGGGTAAAGACAAGTGAAAACATGTGGTCAGTCTGTCGTCAGTTAAAGGCTCCTCCAGGCACCAGGAATTGTCCTTAGATAAACTCTAGTCACAAAGCCTCCTGACTAGCCCATGGGGCTGAACGAGGGGCAGATGAGTGGTAGCTCAGGTTAGAGTTTCTCTGACCTCTTCTCCCCTGACCTACTAGCCTGGTCAGGCAGAGTTATTCATATTCTGTCCTTATCTGAAATGTTGAGATTAGTAAGATCATATCCCTTATGTCTCACAACCAGATTTAAGGAAATGAAAGGAGGGGCCGCATTCATTTAGGAAGCAGTGATAAGCAAAAATGATTGGGTGGTTACAAATTGAAAACCTGACCTCATGGATATATATATATATATATATATATATAAAATTTAAGGGCCGCTTAATTTTAAATCAAATGATTTAAATCTATTTTGGGCTCCTCTTCTCCCCCACTGAAGGTCCCCCACAGCCTTTGTCATCCAAGTGGCCTCTGTGAGGGCCCCTGTACACGATGGTTCCAATTAGTCCCCTCATTAACAGTCTCAGCAGAGGCCAAAGACTAAATGGGTCAGAGGAACCAAATTCTTCTATCATCCTGAGGCTCAAGTGAACATATCTGAGGAGCGCAAGTCAGGGAGGGAGGACTGAGAAGCAGGAAACTTGGGAAATGAAGACTTTACAAAACTATTGTGAACTGCCTCCTCTGAAAATGGAAAAATCCAGCATTCTCCAACCACTCCCCCACCTCACTCCCAACAAATACTTTGAAAGTGGCATCTTTCACCTACTTTGCTTCCATGGGGAGGTACTCTGTATTCACATATATAATCCGTAGGTATATATAAAAATGTATCATTGCGAAATGGACCAATGAAAACTGGATTGTTAGCTAAGTGAAGGGAGCAGTTGTTCCCCCCGCCCCCGTAAAAAGCAGATGTTTAAATAATGCAGATTTCAATAATACAATATCTTATCAGACTGCATACTTAAGTCCCCGAGACGAAACCTAAGCCTATTTTGGTGGGCTGCTGTGCCTTTCCTGCCAAGCAGCTACGAGAAGGAAGGAACATCCCAGAATCCTTGCTTATGAATGTACTGTCTCCGCTGAGTGTGAATGTACCAGTACTTCGTGTTTGTATGAATGGGGGTTGCATGTGCTGGTCAGAGGCCACGTGAGACACACGGCGGGTGGGGGGGATTATGTATTTAAAAAATGAATTGGAAAAAATGAAACGGAATGTACGGATGACATAAATGGAACCCATGGCACCCTCTCTTTTTTATTACCCACCACCACAATAGGGCCCACCTGTTTCATTAAAATTAATTCCTGGCTTTGCAAATATCAATAGATCAATATCTGTACTTGTGTTCCACCCTTCCCTGGGACCATTCTGCTAAAAACAGAGAGCTGCAACACGAAAGATACCGCAGTCAGCTCAAGCAGGGGGTTATTTTTAGATCAGAAAAAAGAGGGGAAAGAAAAAAAAACAGAGGCAGTTCTGGGTTTTGCAATCTAATTTGGTCTCTTTTCTTAAGGAAAAAAAAAATCCCATCAATGGCATTTTCCATACAATCTGATTTCTATTTGGCTCCTAGAAAAAGAAGAAGAGATCTAGGGCTGAAAATTCTGGAGTTTTATGGCTGATTCCAGCTAGTATCCTTTCTTCACCAGGCTCCAACTGAATTAATTTGATACTATTTTTGAAAGTCAGTGTTTCTAAGGGAGACCTAATGACGCACTGACGTCAATGCAGGTCAATAGCACACACTGCTGGAACTGGGCGTGCTACACTGAGCCAGGGCTGGAGGCTTTTCAAACAGCCCCAACTCTGCAAATATCCCAGCTTTGCAGGGGGAAAAAAGCCAGGGTTTTGTAAGCATTGAGACCCCCACCATTTTCCCCGAACACCTTCTAAATTGATGCATGCTTTCTAGATGCGAAAAAAGAAAGAAGAAAATCCAAACAGATATAATCAGACGCACTGCAGTGCAAAAAAAAAAAAAAAAAATCATACCTGTCAAAGGAACCGTATGTAATCCGTGCACACACACATTTACGTTCAGAATGCAATACATATCATTAGGGTCTGTCTATAAATAGACCCGAGTGTGTGTGCATCGGGACTTAGTCCCAAATGGGATTTTCAAACGTGGGTGATGAGTTCTTTGCTCTGATCAGTTACTCAGAAGGTGCCTGAATGTGTGGGGGTGGGAGCGTGGGAGGGGGCTGCCTCCTCTCTCTCCTCCTTCCCTTTGGCTCTCCCCCTCCTTTCTTCTCCCTCCCTCCCTCCCTCTCCCCTTACTTCCCCTCTCCTCTCCCTCTCTCATTTCCTCTTTCTTTCTCTTCTTCTCCCTCTCTCCTTCAGCATCCCCCCACCCTCTTTTTCTCTCTCCCCCTCCCTCTCCTTCCTCGCTCTCACCCCCTCCCTCACTCCCCCACCCTCTCTCTTCTCCCTCTCCCTCCAAGTCTGGCACTGAACGCGAACTGTTTTGCTTTGCTCCGGGAAGAGTGCAGAGACACACAACGTGAAATCCCGAGCTTTTTGCGTGGTGCATTTAAAATGCTTCCCTATTTATATTACCCTCATTCCCTCACCTCCCCCCACCCCCTCACCAGTCCTTCCAAATTTCCCTAGAAATCTATGTAAAGCATGCGGAGGGGAAAACATTTGCACAAAAAGTGAAGGAGCTCGCCAAGGTAGGTTATACCATGCACTGTCTTGTGTTTGGCTTTTGCAAAGTTTATGATGTCAGTTGGTGAATGTTTGGAGGAGTAGATTTGTATGACTGGCCATGATTACTGTCTTTTTCACTGAACAATTATCTTTGTGCAAATTGCCTAGACTTCTTGGGCAGGCTTTCCTGGGGTCTTGCGTGTGTGGTTTTTGCAGGAGGCATGCCAGCTGGAAGACAATCCTGTGCTGTTAAGCTGGGGAGGGGATGCCGTCTTGGCTCCCCCCACCTTAGTGTTCTGTGGTTTGGGGGTGGAGGGTGGAGGGGTATTCTGTAGTGGGCAAGGGTTTGTGCCACTTGGCCGTATCTTGGATTGATTCTCATTCACTGAATGTCTTAATTCTTGGAATTATTTTGCACATGAAAATTTAGTTCCAAAAAGGCTCCCTGAAGTCAGAGCAAAGTGGGGAGAGTGGGGGAGATAAAGAAGCAGGTTATGGTGGTGGTGATGGGAGTGGTGCCACGTCTTGCATAGAGAACTTAATTTTCTCCCCACTATTTGGAGAAAATACTAAGTCTTTAGCGGGTGTAAGCAAAATCATTTTTGTTTAAAACCTTATTCATGGGCAAAATGAAATTTAAAATAAATGTTTCCATTGCAAGAGCAAAATCTGCTACAGCTCACAACCACCTGTAGAGGGAAATCTTTATGCATGGTTTCTTAAGGGCTGGTTGTGTAGAGGAAAACCGCCTGAAAAGGCTCCTGACAAAGTTTGCAGCAGAAAAGATGAGAGGCTGGGCCCTGTGGGGAGAGGGGTTAAAGCTTGGGGGAGGTGGGCGGCAGAGAAGGAGGGAAAAGGCTGGAGCTCAGCCAGGGTCTGTCAGTCTGGGAACCCTCAGGGCTGGCCTGCCTGCTTTGAGGGGCTGGTGCTGAAATGGGGCGGGGAGCTTGAGGTCGACGCTATGGGGCAGGGGCTTGCAGAATATTTGTGTGTCGCGGGAGGAGGGGCGTTTTCTGAAGTCCGGGATTCTATGGTGCCTGGGGCCATGTGATGATAGGGAGGTCACGGGCCAGTTTTTCCGTTGGGTTCTGATCCTCCCAGCTCCTCCCTGCTGCTGCACAAAGCAAGGTGGTTATCAACAAGTGTTTCTCCTGAGAAGATTAGTTTTGACAGGGACTTCAAGGGGTTTTTTAATCTGGATAAATCCACCAGGGCTTTATTGTGTGTAGCAAAGAGAGTCATTCTTTGTTAGGAAGGAGCTTGGGGAAGAGAGGTGGAGGAGTGGAGAGAGGGGGCTTTTGAACATCAGCCATTTGACCTGGGGGGCCAGAGTTCAAATCCCCTAGAGGGCTGAAAAGGTTGAAAAGGTATCGCTCTCCCTTCTGCCGCACCCGCATCTTTCACCCTGAGCTTTATGTTTAATGGGGAAAATTCAGCGCCTGGTGTGGGCCAGACCTCATCAATGGGAATTCCATGTGTCTGAGAGCAGGATTTTTTTTTCATCGAGGGAAGCAGGCAGCACTCTCAGCTGTAGTACTGTAATTTTTTTTCCCCTGCAAATGATCTTCTAGGAAAGCTGAATCACCTCCACTCTGAAGAGCAGCCACTTCTGGGAGGTGGAATACAAGGGGGAGGTGGGAATACCCCCTCCTCCATGGTCCTTAAATATCCGTGTGGGGGCACTACTTGAATTTCTAGTTCAGATGAACCTGGAAACGTAACGAGGGTTCTTTAGACTGGGCTGGTAGTTGAGAAGACCACCTGAACGGGGAAGTAATTCTGGAGTAAGGTAGTGGTTTTTAATTTTGTGCTTGGGGTGCGGGGGCGGAAGAGTGGGCGGGAGCAGCTGGCTGGGTCATCAAATTAACATGAGAAGGGAATCTTTTTCAGCAGGGATGTGGGAGATGTGGGGAGGGTGCTTGGAAGATAGAATCAGTATGCCATCGCCACCCCCCACCCCAAATAACCAAAAGGCAAGGAATACAGATGAATAAATGGGAAGTGAAATTCGGATCCAGACCCTGATTAAGCCTGCTGTTGGTATGCAGTTCTGTCTCACTAAATAAAGCAGAATGGATAGTGGCTCCATCCCTGGACCTACTGGTGTAGGGTACAGCCAGGCCAGCTGGCCTGTTAGCCACTGTCCACATCACTGAAGGTCCTGCTCCATCTTTTAGCTAGTGGAAGAAGGCGGATGGAGAGTCTTCCACAGCCCAGAAGCATCAGGTTTCTTTGTGTTGCACTTCTCAGAAGGAAATTGTTTCTGTTTTTTGCTTAAGTCGACAAGTATTTGTCTCCCTTTGGTATAAAGGTTGTGGGGGAAGTGGTTACAAAAAAAAAATCTGGTTCTGAAATTATGGTCATCTGCTCTCCATAGTCCTCCAAATCCATCAGTATCTCTCTCTGCTCTCAGCTATGGTCTTCTGGGGACCAAGTTTCAGAAGGGTAACACCTCAAAGGATAACACCTTATGTCCATCAGCCTTCCCCTCGGAGATCCATGGAAGGACCGCCTCTCTCAGGTTCTACCAGGTGCTCAAGCACCTGTCACATGCAGACATGTATGTGCTGTGTGCATGCACATGTATGTGCAAAGGCCACAGCAGTATGCACGTGGGTACCCAGGGTTCTCTCCACATGTCAGCTCATGAACCACACACATGAGGAAACAGACCTTCTTTCTCTCTGTCAAGTCCGAAGATGGCAGTTGAGACATGCTTCATCCAGTTTAGGGGTGAACCTGATGTCCCTGAGTGTATGTGGCGAACCTGGATTTGCCTTGGGTTTCCTCATACTCATTCAGGAGTGTCAGTTGCCCCTTCATGCGACGTTGGAGAGCATTACAGCAAGCAGGTGTCTACTCATTTATGGCAAGAATGAAGTCTAACTTATCTTCATCACCTTGGATGAGCCCTGATGCTTGCCCTCTTTCTCAAAAGAAACCTAGGGGCAGAGGCAGAGCCGGTTATATAATTCACGGGCTCCAGCACAAAATGAACACGTAGGGCCCCTTGTTCCAAAGCAGGAAGAAAGTGCTGAAATATAATGCTTTTGTCTTTCTTCCACAATCTCTCTCTAGAATTGCCATGGTGGTTTTTTATTTTCTCTTTTTCATGTAGTGCAAAATAAAAATTTTACCTTTTTAGCATGAATTTTACCATTCATCTTTATATTGTGTGATGCCAGTTGTAAATGTAAGCACGAGAGCGTTTAGTTTGTAGAATCACTGAAATTACACAGTTATTTCACAGGTCATATATGCATAGGTATTTCATTCTTACCAGAACAGTGGAGACGCTGAACAAAATGAACACCACTGTGTTTATTTTACTTCCTGATACAAGCTCTTTGTACCAGCACGCTCCACCTTCAGTTTGCTGGTGAGGAGAAATAGCTATGGATTGCTCTATCTTCACCTCGCCTTCTGTGTCATCTTTATCAGCATAGGTGTTTGGCAGACACAGGGAAGGAACATAAGAAATGCTACTCTAGAGTCCCTTAGTCATTAGTGTTTCTTAGAACTCCACTGCCTTTCTTCTGCATTGGAAGCATCTGGTTCAAACAGAAAGCATGACCCCTGGGCACTGTCCGTGTCCCCATCTATTCAGTCATAGGCTTACTTTCCATTCTACTTGCCCTGTGTCTCGCTGAACTCCCACTGGAATTCTGTAGTCATAGGCCACCGCCAACACTGTGGGGCAGGAATGATGGACGGGCACACACATTCTCCATTATCCCATAGACTTCACTTACAGAACATGGATTCAAAGACAAAAGTATTAAGAATTTCAAGACAATAACAGTAGAATCTTAAACCAAGCATGGAACCCTTCTGAGCCCAGGGCACTGCAACTACACAAGTCAATCCGGGCAGGAGGAAGTAGGAAGTAACCCAGACCTCAGGCTGAAAACCATATTACTCATCTTCCTTCATCACACAAATAATTGCATCTGCAGCAAAAACTTTAGCAGCCTCATTTTTTGACCCATTGGGGCTTTCTTCTCTTCTAACCAAGTCCCACTCTGTGAAAATCCACCACTTCCTAGTGATGCTGTCACAGCTTCGAAGGGAGAATTCACTTCCTGATCTCTTCTGGATCCACTGATGCCTTGGTTTAGGGCCCAGGCCATGCAGATGAAGTATTGGTTCCCATTCCCACCCGCCACTTTCAAGCTTGGTTCCATCCAGCAGATACCCTGACTGATCTGTACTTCGGTTTTACCACCTAAAAGCAATAAAATATATTTGGCTTGCTTCATGAATAATTGTGCTAATTATTTAGTGCTCCTTCTTGTTTATCTCACAACTGCTATGAGGTCTGCCCAGGGGTCTCCTGGCCTGGGATGACAAGTTCTCAGAAATTACTTCGGCAATAAATTCACTTAATGTTGATGTGGAAGAAGCAGGGTTTGGTGCTTAAAGGGTCAAGGGGAAGACGGGCTTACATTCCTGACGGACCCAATAAAAAGTGAGGTTTTCCTTCCTTCATCAACTGCCTTTTGCTCCTCATCTACTAGGAAGCAAAGCTAGAGGGCATCTTAGAGATGGGGCGGACTAGTGAGTAAATAAAATAGCATTAAATACGCATCCAACCTAGAGAATGAAGACTATCGACCCTTCATCGTTAGTTCAGGGACTTGGAGAGTTTTTGAGAGTTGTGTTTTTCAGGTTTAATACAGATTTCCTTTCTAGCCTGGTCCTTCAGGTGACCCCAACACCCTTTTGAGAAATACTTACCTCGGTCTAGGCTACTGAGAGTACCTAGAAAAAAAAAAAAGAACTATTCTTGTTTATTCTTTTATAAAACCATTACTAGACTTGGAGGCTGCTGCAGTGACAGTCGGTTAGTGGCCTGGAAGACCAGTCAGTGAGTAATTATTGACTGTTTACAAATGAGCCTAGCACAGTGCTTGACCCATGGTGGGTGTTTAATAAATGTTAGCTGACTCAGAGTAGATCTCATTGTTGTAGCACTATGTTATAGTGAAAGAGTTATGAATTTGGCATCAAACCAGACAGGTTCAAGCAACCACGTGGATGTATGTTCTTGGGAAAATTATTCAGCTGTTTTTGAACTACTTACCGTACCTAAACACTGGGAGTATTCACATTAGAACAGCTACCCCACAAGGTTATTTTGACAATGAAATCAGAAGTGAGGTGGTTTATCCTAAAGCCCTCTAGATACATAAGTGACACATGTATTTGTGTATATGTGTGTGCACAAAGGCAGATATTAAAATTTTTTTTTTAATCATGCCTTCTTCTCTTTCCCATCCCACTGAGTAATAGAAGTAGGCATAGGCCTCTCCGATGGGCTGGATGCCATCCTGAGTACAGTATAACTGAATAGTTCAGGCTTTGCAGCCAAACACTCCTGCATTTAAATCTTGGCTCTTATATTTGGTTGGTTATGTGACTTTTGATACGTTATTTAAAGTCTCTAAGCCTCAGCTTCTTAACATTTAAAATGGGTACCTACCTCAAAAAGTTATTATGATTAATTGAGTCGGTATTTGCAAGGTTTGGCTCCATGCCTGGCACGGCTCCATGCCTGGCACATACCAAATGTCTATTACTTTTATTTTGTATTATTATTTTAACTATTATACCTCTGGCCCAGGGAAGCATCAGAAAAATGACTTGGGAACATCTTCTCATGAGGCATGATGTGGGATGGCATTTCTACTATATGCTTTTCCTAACTTCGGTAAATTCTTCTTTTTCTGAAGTTAGCAGAGTTCCTCTTAGACTTTTCCACATATGTAAAGACTTCCCTTGGGAGATCTGGGTAAAGTCTATCTCCCCTATACTCTACTGAAAGCCATTGGCCCTACCAAGTAAGGGACAGGCCTGGGCAACTTCCCTGGAGCTTGCACTTCAACTAGGAACTCAACTCTTTTGTCCCAGAAGTCCCCAACCCTGAAAGAGAGGGCATTCAGGTAAGGAGAAAGGGACTCAATTGATGTTTAGCACAGGTCTTGACCTCAAGCATGGGAGGGAGAAGAGTATCTGCATTTGACTCACAGGAGCCTACAGGCAAGACTCCAGTCTTCCCTCAGCTGAGATAGATGTTGCAAGTCCTCCTTGAATGCTGTGAAAGCCCCTCAGTGATTCTCTGGAGGCAAGTATCACTATCTATTCTTCACCCAGGTCTTGTGTTTCAATGACCTCATCCCCTAGTGGAAGACAGAAGAAAGAAACCCCTTACCTAATCTCTAAGGCCTTATTAAAATTAGGAATTCAACAACTCAACAAAAACTTCTGTATGGCACATTATGCAAGGCCATACACTAGATTCTGAGGATCCAGTGATAACTAAAACACAGATGCTTCTTGCCACTGTAGCATGTGTAGTCCAGAGGTGAGAGAGGCTTTTAACAGTCCGCATTCTCCTTTTGGTAGGACCCTTACCAATCCTGAGTTGTTATGCAATGATAAAGCCCTCGCCTGAAGAATAAGCCATCATCGGCTTCTGTTTTCTATTCCAAATTTACCTCCCTAATGTCCCTTTCTGCTAAGAATCCTTTCATCCATGAGTTGATGTGAGTACGTTAATTGGTGTGAAAGTACCCGTTGGGAAAGAACAAGTTTCATCTATTAAGATCCAGATTTTGGCCAGGCACAATGGCTCACCACTGTAATCCTAACACTTTGGGAGGCCAAGGTGGCAGGATCGCTTGAGCCCAGGAGTTCAAGACCAGCCTGGGCAACAAAGCAACAACTCATCTCTACTAAAAATTTTTTTTTAAAAATTAGCCAGGTATGGTGGTGCATGCCTGAAGACCCAACTACCCCAGAGGCTGAGGCAGGAGAATGGCTTCAGCCTGGGAATTCGAGCTTGCAGTGAGCTATGAATGTGCCACTGCACTCCAACATGAGTGACAGAGCAAGATGCTGACTTAAAAAAAAAAGATCCAGAGTTTTAGTCCCAGTGGTGATTAGTAATATTTAGTGAGAAGAATAGCCTTCTTTTATGTTTTACAGCAGTTCATTCTTTTTTTAGACACAGGGCCTTGCTCTGTCACCCAGGCTGGTGTGCAATGGCACAATCATTGCTCACTACAACCTTGAAGGGTAGGTGCACACCACCATGCCTGGCTGTTTTGATTTTTTGCTGTTGTCCAGGCTATTCTCAAGCTCCTAGGCTGAAGCAATCCTCCTGCCCTCCCAAAGTGCTAGGATTACAAGTGTGAGCTTCTGTGCCTGGCCCAATTCATTCCATGAGGAACCCATGGGCTGATTGTGGTAGAGGGCATGGGTCCTAGAACTACAGGACTTACCCTGACCTCTTGGATATTAAGAATCAGAGAGTCAGAGACCTCCTCTGCAGGGAGTAGCCTCATCCTAGTCTCAGTCTAGGGCAGGAGCTAGGATCCCAATTGACTACAAAGGTTGTTTACTTTTACATACTTCTCCATATTTGCACAGATTTAGAAAACAACAGTGGTTTGGAGACGTGATACAAGGGACAAGGGAAGATCAAAATAGCCACTTCCTTCCCTGAAAACCCCACTTTCCCAAAACAAGAGAGTTTTTCCTACTCTGCATTAACTTGCTAGTTTATAAGCTGTCAGAGTTTCTAGTTTTTAAAGCTTAACCACCTATATCATGCAAGTTGCAGCACGATGAAGGCTGGTCACCACTGAGGGATTGATGCACTCATTCATACCGGGGTTTGGAAGCAAATTGGACCACAAATCGCTGACCAGAATGAACATTTCTTATGCATGAGCCCCAGATCCTATCAAAACATTAATAATTCTCTCGAGTTACAATCTAGATCAAAGTTGTGTTGTAACTTGTAATTTAACATACTATTTTAAGTCAATTGGAGCCCATATATTTGCTAATACTGGTGGCCCAGAGCAGCAAGTTATTCCATGAATGAAAACATTTGGTAATAGCTCTAGACATGAGGGATGACGAAGAGAGGACAGGCCAGGATGGGCTGAGTCTTTCTTCTCATAATCAGTGGTCCTAAGGCCCTTCGAACCAGTGGCTCCTTCATGTTTTCTCCTTCATGCAATCAGAAGCCCACCTTCTCACTGGACAGCTTCCCTCCACTGACCTCAGGAAGCAGAGGATGAATAGGAGCAGCCAAACTAATTAGAGGATTGAAGGCAGGGTCTTTGTCATCCATGATTAAAGAGAGGTGCCTCTTGTGATGTGACCTATACAGCCTCTGCCTCCCCTAGCTGGTCCAAACCTCAGTGAGTCAACACTGACCCTTAACCAGAGGTGGGTGAACAGAGCCCAGCACAGTTACAATAAGGGTAGATGGAGTGATGGCTTACAGATACTGAGAAAATCCATTACTTACCCGTGGATTAGTCTTAATGGCAGTTCCTGAAGACTGTCTTTTCCTTTAAGGTATAGGCCCTAAAGAATTCTATTCTGAAATTGTCTGTCCCAGCTGTCAGTCTTATAACTCATTCCCAAATTATGAAAGTCCACTACATTTTCTAAAGATGTAGTGACTCCCTTTTGTTCTGTGTGTCTTGGCAAAGTATCTGAGAGGTCATCTTAGAAAATAAAAGAGAGGTAAAAAGCTTCATCTTAGAGGTCATTTGTTTCCTCCTCAGACAGGTTGCACTTGCCCTGTGGAAATGAGACAATGAATGAGAAGGAACATCAGATGCTTCTTCCATTAGTCCCGATTGGGACTTAACACTGTGCGCCCCACTGCTCAGGTTCCCCTGACCGTTTGAAACTTCTCCCATTGCTGAATGAAACTCCATTTCTGTCTGTTCTGGGGAACCCAGCCAGGGCCCAAAGAGGGGATGCTCTGTATTTCCAAATACGAGCTTCTACATTTAACAGCTATGTTTAACTTTGGACAAGTTACTTAACCTCTCTAAGCCTCAGGTTTTCAACTTGAATGTAGAAGTTGTAATAGGACCTGTTTGATTGAGTTGTCATTAGGATTGAGTGGGATGGTATATACGTACCTCTTTGCACAGTACCTGATGTTAATAAATATAGTGCTCAACAAATATTAGCTATTGTTACTCTTCATATCATGCCAGCAGAAGAGGGGTGAGGAGCTCTCATAAAATATTTTGAGCCTTCCTGGATGGGAAGTCTTTCCCTTATTCTGGGTTCCTTCTGAACTATGTATCATCCTGTATGTAGGTGAACACAGAACCTCTTGGGTACCTAACAAGAAACCAGGCCACTGCTAATCAATCAAAATCAGCCAGTGAGCAAACGTTAATTGTAAGAAAGACCAGAAAGATCTCCCGTCATCTCTTGGGGCTCCTACTATTGCATTGATTAACTGTGAGCCAGAAATTTTTTTTTTTTTTTTTAGAGACAGTGTCTTGCTGTGTCACCCAGGCTGAAATACAGTGGCGCAGTCTTGGCTCACTGCAACCTCTGCCTCCCAAGTTCAAGCGATTCTCCTGCCTCAGCTCTGAGTAGCTGGGACTGCAGGCGTGCACCACCACGCCCAGCTAATTTTTGTATTTTTATTAGAGACGAGGTTTCACCATATTGGCCAGGCTGCTCTCGAACTCATGACCTCGTGATCCACCCACCTTGGCCTCCTAAAGTGCTGGGATTACAGGCGTGAGCCACTGCGCCTGGCCCAGAACATTAAAAATAATAATAATATCTGTACCCTGATAGGTTAGCCAACTAGTTAACCTGAGGAATTTCAGCAGGGAAGGGGCTGCGGAAAAATTTGGTTCAGAGCCTCAGTAGAATCTGTCTTGCTCCCTTTCTGGCAGCCATGTTAGGTGTTTTGTCTGAGAAGGATTCCGTGTCCCTCACTTAGGTTATCAGATATGTGTTTTTAAAGGCTCCTGAGAGCAGGCAAGAATGATTTCCTTCATCCTGTTGCTGTTAAGTGGGATATACAACTATCCTGCTGCAAATCTTTTTTTTGGGAGAGGAGCTTATCCAGGCTCCATGATTCTTCTATAAAAAGGTCCTTTATAATAAGGTCCTTTAATGGCTGCAACTCTAAATGTTTATGGGAAGCGAATGACTGGAAATCTAGAACACATTCAAAATCCAAGGCCAGAGAAAGTTTAAGCTCCAGCCTCAGCCTCAGATCTCCTGGGACCAACCCCCTAAGAACCATCCATTCTAGTTCATCTTGCAAATGGAACCCAAGAGTTGGATCTAGGCATGGGACCCACGATGTCTCTAAAGTTTAAAAACACCTGGGTTGTCTGAAAGCAGAGCTGGGTCCAGGTCCCGTGCTGAGGTCTCCAGTTCTAAGTAAAGGTTGCTAGTAGAGAAAAAGCCTGTGGCCTCTGGGCAGAGATTTGTTTCATAGAGAAACGAAGGAAATGTGCAACAGAGAACAGTTTTACTCTGGAGCTCCCTCTACTGGCTCTTTGGTGGAAATCCATCGCAGTTATTCCGTCCTGCCCTGTGGGTATCAATTTAGAACACCTGAGTGTCCTAGCACCTTGAAGCCAGGAGAAAAGGTGCCCTGAGATACCAAGAAAGATGGAACTGCAGATTCTGGTTTCTCCTGCTTCTTTTATAATTTCAACTAATGTTTTGGGGGTGCCAAGACAGTGCTAAGCATTTTGTATGCATTATTTCATTTAATACTCACCATAAACCCACATTTTACAAATGAGGCAGCTGAGACCTGAAGAGATTAAATAAGTTCCTGGCATCACCATAGACTAGTAGAACCCCTTGGTGACTCTCATCGTTCTTATGCTTCTCCTGAGTGACAACTTAAGAGAAGAGCCAGCAGACAATGTGGGATTGGAAGTAGCATTTGTTCTCACCACTTAATACAAAGAGGCTCTGAGATCGCTCCATAAACTTCCTAGGTCTTACAGAATTTCGGCCCTGTTTTGTTTATTTGTTTTTTTGGGTTTTTTTGTTTTGTTTTGTTTTTTTGAGACGGAGTTTTGCTGTAGTTACCCAGACTGGAGTGCAATGGCTCGATCTCGGCTCACTGCAACCTCCACCTTCTGGGTTCAAGCAATTCTCCTACCTCAGCTTCCCAAGTAGCTGGGACTACAGGCGCGCACCACCATGCCCAGCTAACTTTTGTATTTTTAGTAGAGACGAGGTTTCACCTTGTTGACCAGGATGGTCTCGATCTCTTGACCTCATGATCCACCCACCTCGGCCTCCCAAAGTGCTGGGATTATAGGCCTGAGCCACCGCGCCTGGCCGGCCCTGTTTTTTTTTAATTGTACTTTTTAAATTTATTTGTTTATTTATTTATTTGAGACGACTCTCTCTTGCCCAGGCTGGAGTGCCCAGTGGCAGCATGGTCTTGGCTCACTGCAACCTCCGCCTCCCGGTTTTAAGCAATCTTCCCACCTCAGCCTCCTGAGTATCTAGGATTACAGGTATGCACCATCACACCTGGCTAAATTTTTTTGTATTTTTAGTAGAGACAGGGTTTTACCACGTTGGCCAGGCTGGTCTCTTAACTCCTGACCTCAAGTAATCCACCTGCCTCAGCCTCCCAAAGTGCTAGGATTACAGGTGTGAGCCACTGCACCCAGCCTCCTGTTTTTTGTTTTTTGTTTTTTTTTAAATTCAGCCCATGAGGAATTAATTACATGGCAAGGCTTTGTCCAATCTGCACCCTCCTCATTTCATGCCCAGGTTGAAGAAAGCAGGGAACTCCCATAGTGACTAAGAAGAGTTTCCATGACAGAAGTGAGGCCTGAGGCCTTTTAAAATTTGTGGAACATGGTCACAGCTACTTTTAAAATAAAATCCCATGAGATAGTAGAGGAGATAATAGCCCACACATTTTATAGGTTAGAAACTTAAGATACTGAGTGCTTGGGTCCAGGTTTTGTTTAGGAGCAAATGGCAGAATCAAGACCAGAAATTGTCACTCTCAGCTTAAGTTCTGACTTTTTGGTTGGTGTTGGTTGGAACTCAGAGACCAGCATGGGTTTTTAATTACATAAAACAAAGACTGTGAAGATACTTTCTTGTTTTACACTCAGATCCTTTCCTGAGTCTCTCTGTTTTGGGTTGTTTCATAATTGAGCTTCCTTGATACTGAGCCATTGGGAATTGGGAATGACATAAGCCACTCATCTTATTACTATTGGTCTCTCACCAGTCCACATGTTAGCAATATCTAGGTCCCCGGGAGAATCCCAAATATTATTTCAGTTCTCCTGTAGCTCATGAAGATGTAATTCTTTCACCTCACCCAGGAGAATCAAAGCATTTTCACACTGGTTCTTACTGGGGAGTTGAGATATGGGTAAGTAATAGGAGTCCCATTCCTGCTTTGGGTGGAGTTCTGGTCTCCAATTTCACTGCCAGTGTGTCTCTAAATCTACACAGTGGAACAGTGGCTACACCAGACGTTACTCAGTTCCCCATCCCTGACTCAGGACCTTCCACTAGCTGCCCCTTCCCCTAAAACCAGAGCGATGTCAACTGTACCTGCTGAGAACAACACAGAGATAACAGGAGCAGACTTTCTGCAGTGCCTCCTGAGCAATTGGCTGTCATTGTTCCAAACAGAACAGCTGGCTTAAAAAGATTTATCCATAACATAACCTCCTGGCCCTCAGCTATGGGTGGAAGCAGTGCTTTCTGGTTTGACCTCCTAATACCACAAACTTCACTTTGCCAGAAATGTGACTTGATGAATAGTGTGTTCAGACCTGCCAATTTGGAGTATATTCATATTTGGCCACCCGCTGGTAAGACTGACCATCCCCTCACCCAACTGTTGCTTTGAGCGTCTGCCCCCCTGTTGCTCCCATCCCCAGGAAAGCCAAAATGGCACCACAAAAGGAGGGGAGGGGAGAGCCTGGAACTGAACACTCACAGGGAATTGTGAGTGATGGAACGTGGATTGCTGATACCGTGTCCCTTTCCTCTTGCTTGTTGTAGGAGCGTCAACGACCAAGAGGAGACCAGATGAGTTTTCAAAGCAGTCCTCACACACCCAGGACACACCTCATCCTTTGCCTCGTGCTTTCTGCAATGTTGCTGTTCACGTTCATCTTCCTATTAACCCTTGCCATAAGAACCCCTTATTGACCACCATCCTTCCTCCATCCACCACCCACTCAGCTCCTTCTCTGAGGTGCCCTCGCATGGGCAATGGCTTTTGTCTCTATTTGGCAAATTATGCCCAGATGGTTAACATTAATTTCTCTTTCTCCTATCCCTCCCTCATGCTAGGCTCAGTCCAACAGTCAGCCCCTTGTCAGGAAAACCAGAGCAAATCCTACTTTCTGCCAAAATCAAGTTACAAGACACTTTTCCAGAGCAGTCACACTCCATGAAGGGACTCAAGGTATATCTGAGTGTGACGTAATTGAAACCATAGGGAAAGACTAGAAGCCCCTTGCTCCCAGTCAGATACAGTGAAAGAGCTTACTCAAGACTAGACTGATTGAGAATGTAGGGGGGCTAGGGAGGAGAAAGAGAAAGATCCTCAGAAGTGGATTGTCCCTGAATACAGGATGAAATCATCTAGATTTTTTTTTTCTCCAATTAAATTTGCATTTCATTCAACCACATTGCAATGGCTTCACATTGGGCATTTTCATTTGAGACCCAAGGCTTTTCATCATGGGTCCTGAGCCACAGGTTCCTGGATGGTGAGGTAAGTGGCATTTGCCAGCACTGTCTAGGATGATTTGTAGTGCTTTGAAAAGCCCTGTGCTGATGAGTCAGATCCACCCTGTTAGGTCCTAAGATTTGTCCTCTGTTGGTCCCTCTTTATCGAAATGCTCTTCAGGGATCCCAGCCCAGACGTAGATGTTAGCCCAGCCTCACAGTGTTAATCTAGACCTCTAAAAAACCAAAACAGATCCTGAGGATTGACCAAACCAGGAATTGTGAACATATAGCAATCTCTTTCTCAAAGACAATCATTACTATAAAAAGTGTAGCTCTCTGAAAACCCACCATACCTAGAAAGTATATTTTCTTCCCTGCCCCTCTTCTTTCTACTTTTACAGGTGAGCTAGGACTGATGCAAGCTACCATGTTTTCGAATGTGAGCTGAAGGTCTCTCTTCTCGTGACAAGATTCAGATCCAATCCGCTATTTAACCAATAGCCTTGCCAATAAGTACAAAAAAATCTTGCCAATCCAGCAGATATGTTAATCAGATATGTTAGCAGATACATTATTCCTCTGTGTCCCACAGCCTATACTTACTGGACTAGGAATTGAAACGCAATCCCCATTCTTTTCTCTTGGCCTACCAGATATAGTGATCCAAACTTAGTAGATCAGCAGCTAATTGCAAGCCTGCTGTAACAGTGAATGAATAAAAAGTCCTGCTAATTCAGACCTACCCATCACCCATGAATCTGTCATTGAGCTAGCTCTCTGCCTGCTGAATTCAGGTAGATAGACAATTGTCCTTCAACCACAAGGTTAAGGCTAAACTCATGCAGGTATCTCTGAGCATGCTGCAGATTGTTCTTTCTCTCTGTGGCCGTGCTTTCCAAGCCCTGACACCTTTCTTTAGCCTCTGCTAAGCTCAAGTGTGCTGGAATCCTGAGCCCCACCCCTGCCTCAGCCCCCTATCATGTGCTTGCTTTGGCTCCCCTGTCTTTGCTGAGATCCTCACCATGAAACCAACTCTAGGTATTCCTGAGTGACTCTCTAGGTTCTCGTTCTCCCAAATGTGCCTTTTATCATCAAGGCATGGGAAAACCTATCATCTGGTTCTCCAAGGTGTCCAGCAATTAGAATGGCTGAGAGGAGGAGGACATTTGAGTTTGCCTCTTGATAATGGGGTTGTGCGAAGAGCAGATATTGTCTCAACTGTTCTGAAGTTGGACAGTGTAACTACTTTCAGGTGAATAGACGATAGAGACTATTTTGAGTTGTTGAGGGCAACCAAAAAAAAGGGCGGGGGGAAGGGTGAAATTCCAATCACTTTCCTCCAGCATCCAGCAGTCCTTAAAACATTCACTCTTAAATCTCCAAATATGCTGGCTTCTAAGAAGTGCTTCCCAAGATCGAATATACCTCTTGATCAGGGTAAGTGATGAAAATGTGTATTTACCAGGGGAAGGGAATCATGGAATAGCATGAATTATGCATTCTGTGGCCTATGTATCCCCACTGTGCTAAATGGCTCAGCCTGTAAAGTTTTCGGAATCAGAAAAATGATCAAAGATGCCAGTTTCTAAGGGAGTGATGGAGGACTAGCAAATGATTAGCTAACTCAAGGTGCATGTAGACTTTCTGCTGTTCTTGCTTTAGGACAGTTTTCTTGGGAAGCTGGACCAGGGGGTTCCTATTCTTCCCTAGCATTGTCCCAGGGGCATCCTCGGTGAGAGTGGAAACTTGCTTGGGTGCAGCAGCCTGAACAAATGTCAAGCTCACTGCATCTCCACCGCAAACTGGTTGGTTTCAGACAAATCCCTTGAATTGTGGATGAGGCTGAACCAGCTAGGGCTTTCCTTGAAATAGAATGGAGGGGTCTCTTCTGACAGGCAGATAGCCTTGTGTAGGGGACATCTGTTGGCTAACAGGCTCCTTAGGAGGAACAGATGTCTCATTAAAGTGTCCCAGATATCTCCAACTCCACATGACCGGGGATAGACCTGGAATATTTAAAGACCAGAGATTGGAGTCGAGGCAACATGATGGATTGGTGTGGCATGAGTGCTGGAGCCACATAGATAGGAATTTGATCTGATCTTGAGTTTTGTAACTTCAAGCTCTAAGACTTTTAGACAAGATGCTTAAACATATGGTCTCCATTTCATTAGCTTTCAAATGGGAAAAATAATAACTGTTTGGGGAGTGATTTCTGTGCTCAATAAGACTTAGGGGTAGGTATTATCATAATGACACTTAGAGAATTGCCTTAAGGATTAAATACAGCTTCTCAAGTAAAAGTGTCCGGGGCAGTGTCTAGCATATAGTTGAAGTTGAAAAACTATGGTTTTTCTCTCTCCCTCTTTTCCTTAAGCCAAAATAGTTCTGTTCCCTGACGAAGACACCTTTAGGAAAAGAGGAATCCCTTTCCTAGACTTCCTTCCTGAGGGACTTCCCTTGGTTGATATCCTGGAAGCTGGACTGTTTTTCCTTCTCCAAATCCAGTACTTTACCTGCTGGCATTTTTCATGGTGCTTGGATAGGAGACAGCCGACACAGGCAGGACATTTCTGGGCTTCACTCACCCTGAAAGAGAAGAGGCTCAGTTCTTTTCAAGGGCTTCATGACAAGCAGCCTACTCCCACAAGCCCTCTGGGGGAGCATTAGGGGGAATGAGTCCTCTTCATGCTTGGGATGCCCTGGAATGGGTTGGCAATGCCGAAGGCGGTTTTCATCTTGGACAGGTTCCACATCAGTCTATTCATTCGCAGGGTCTTTAGCTTGACTGCTCAGACAGAAATTGGGCATCACAGCCCTTAGCACAGCATGGTGAGACAGCTCGCGAAGCCAAGGTCACCAGCTCCAGCACAGACGTGCACCAGAGGACCTGACTGAGGAGTAGGGGAGATGGAGGTGCTAGCTATGGAGGACTAACTTTCTGCAGATGTTTCTACTGAGCTTCCAAGCCCCTTGCACTCTGTCTTGATTACTGGAGCAAGACAGAAACAAGGCAGAGCGGCGCCCTCTTCTGGGAGGGAGGAGCAAAGACACTGAATCCTCCAGGAAGCGGGGCTGGTTTACATTAGCACAATTTTGGCTGCTGCCTTCAAAGTTCTGATGTGCAAAGCCTGAGCACATTTATTCCATTTCCAACTCTACCTTATTTGATAGGACTAGATTCGGGGTTTGCTTAAAAGCTGTTAGTGATTTTAAATGAATCTGTCTTGATTTCAGCATCAGACACAATAATACTCAGCAACTGTATACAGCAGTGATACATTAAATGGACTGTAAATGGATCACTATAGAAAGTAGAATACATTCTAAAGTTCTCTTCTCTATATAGTTTATGTAGTCCATACAGAAACCATGTGGCTTCTGTGAATGCGCCCACACACATGAATTTATGCTTACACATTCTAATCTCATATCTAAACAAACGCCTACTCCGTGCCTTTAAAAACATATTTAGCCTGACATTTTCATTAATCCAAAGAGACTTCATTGAAACACTGCCGGCGTCTCCGTCCATCTGGCCACATTTGATGACCCCATGTGATAAGTCATCTTCAGCGCAACAACCAGGGCTGCCTCCCTTTCACTGATACTTCTCTTGACTGCACGCCTCCCACTGCAGCAACATTCTCACATGCATACATGCATGCAATCGTGATCTAAAAATAAACAGCTGCTGATGGGCTGCCAGAGGGTGTCCTCCGTACTGAGCACACATCCTCTGTCTTCCGTTAGTAGGCACAGCTCAAGCCACAGACAGGAATTGAGGGTACTGGACAGGCTAAGCTGAACCCAGATCTCTCAGGCAAGTTACAAAGAGTAGGAGAGCCTGAAAAGGGAGATGACACAGGTGAGGCCCATGATCATTCTCTCCTTCCAGGCCTTGTGCCCCAAATCCAAGTGAAAACCTCTGGAAAAGTGTTTACTGATATCGAAGGAAACCATTGTCAGGGAAGATTGATAATTAGGGTTAAGAAAGGAGATAAACCATTCCTCCAGCCACGATTGTAAATGGATCTCTGCTTTCTGGTTTTCCCCTTCTCAGGGCAAAGGTTCTCCAAGTGGATCTAGGATATGTGTGCATTTAAGGAGGGTGATTTGTGTGCCTGTGGTTTTGTTCAGATCTGACAATCTGCAAGAATTCTCCCCACCTCCATCACTCATCAATCAATAAATCCTTTGTCATGCTGAGGTGTGGCATTTCTTCTGCTGAAAACCTCAGATTCAGACACACCCCACACACCCGGAGACACACACATCCACACACACATGCACACACTTCCTCACCCTCAGGCTTCTTTCAAATTGGTTTAAAAATAGCACTAATCCATTGAGCTCATTTTTCAGGGACGTTATTTTAAGTAGGAAAAAAGATATCCTGGTCTTTGAGAGGGAGAAAGGGTAAACGTCACCTCGCCTTAAAAAGTCCTGATAATGCCTCTGGAGACTAAGCATTTGCAGTCTTTGTTGAATTTTCTCCTCCTCCTGCCATTCAACAAAAGTTGTTTATTCCCGAATACCCTGCCATCTGGGTATTTATAGAGGTGGGTTTCGTCTTCCGGTGGTGAGCAGAGGGAAAAGCCTCAGTAGCAAGCCCCGACACTCCCCTCTGGGCGCTCCCCACCGCCAGCACAGACGCCTTCTAGGACCGTGGATTTGTGAATCAGCTCCCCCTTTCCCCACACAGGGGAGCCCCTAAATGGCTGCTGGCCATTTGCAAAGCGTTGTGTGCATGTGTGTATTTAATTGCAGGCTTATTTGTTTTTGCTCTGGGAGTCTGTCCGTCTCTCTGAAACTCAGATCACTGCTCTCTGGGAAGCTGTATAGCTGGCTGATTCCGTGGGAGACCAGGCAGGATGCGTGGGCGCAGGAAACAGAAGAGGGAAAAGGAGGGAGAAAAAGAGAGCAGGAGAGAGAGAGCGGGAGCCTTAGAATCTGTTATTTGCGTCACTCGAGGAGCCGGGGCTATCTGCCGGACAAACACACAGAATTAATCCGAGTTATAGCCATAGCTGTCTATGCTACAGTGACCACATGAGAAAGGGCGGGGAAAGGACGCGCGCCGGAGCCTGTGCCCGGCCGAGTTTGCTTTGGGCGGCTTGGAGCGTTTGGGGAGGGGGTGTCCTGCTGGGTACGCCCTCGGGGCCCTGCACGCCCTGTGCAGACTAGCTGCAGCCTGCTCTGCAGCTGCCCAGCCCAAGCCTAGGGTGGCGCCCGCCTCGGCCGCCTCGCCTGCTCAGTGGCTGCGCCGAACACAAAGCGCTGTCTCCGAGCAGAAGCGTCTTCTCAGCTGAACCAGACCCACCAAAGAGGAGAATCTGCACGTGACGTCAGTAGCTGATGACTGACGCAGGCTGGCAAAGGAGACTCAAGGCGGCTGCTCCGCGCTGCCTTCATGAGTCTATTTTCTCCAGCCCCCTCGTAGTGAATTACTAGAACGCAAAACACACACACAGACACACATAAGCAGCTTTCAAAATATACATTTCCAAAGGCGGTGTGTTGCAAACACAACGCGATTTTGCAGAGCGTGGGTGGGAAACGTGGGGAGGGTATGGATGATTTTTTTTCCCCTCATCTGGGAATCTCCATCGTGGATAGCAATAGCTTCTAGAGCTCTTCTGGGATGCTCCTCTGGGGAAGGGGCCATGTCCCCCCCACCCACCCCCTACTTTCCTCAGCATGTAGGGAATCTGGTCAATGGAGACATGCGGCTCTAAGAATACAACCACTCCAACGCCTTCTGCTCGGGGAGACTGCGAGGAGCTTGCAACAGGCGGAGACAGATGGGAGTTAATGGGAGGGACGAAGAATATAAAAAATATTTGGGTATTTTTCTGATTTGAAAAACATTTTCTGCAGTAAACGCAAGTGAGTCTGGTGGTGCAGGGAAAAAAAGTGAGGAGGGGGCGCTTACTGCACATTTAATGTTTTGGACGTAAGGTTCCAGCGAAATGCCTTTGTGTGTGGAGGTTTGTTCAGTACTTGCTAAAAATAGCATCAGGGTTTGATCGTGTTCCAGAAATAAACCGAGGGCTGCACTGGGATAAAAAGCCAGCGCGGGTGGAAGAAAACCTGGACATCACCGCATTCCTCCCCCCACAACTATGTCTGGAAATTAATTGTTGGATTTTTCCTCTCCTCTCTCCTCTTTCCATCCACTTTCTCTTTCCTCCCCCTATGTTTCTCTTTCTCTCTCTTAAGGAGTTCCCGTTTGGGTAAGTAATATTATGTCATGTGCATGCCGCAGACTGTGAGTATGAGCTGACGCTTACTTTGTGCATGTTCCAGGGTTCTTTTTTGGCTGCTTTTTCCCCCCTTCTAAAGAGGATAGTGGGACTGAGTAGGGGGTAAGGGGTGTAGCTGTGTGTGTGTATGTATATGTATATATAATGAATTTGGGGCTGCATGCAAAGAAACCGAGAGAGGGAATTCTTGCAGAGCCGGGAATCACCCTGACGAATCTCTGAATCAATAGCTGCTGCAACTCTCTCTCTCGTTATGGGTCGGCGCTGTTGAGCTCGGTTTTCTCGTTAGCCCCCTCCCCTCCCTTCCCCATTTTCTCTGTCTTAAAGGGTGGCCAGACACGACTTAATGAGCCATATCTCTGAGAGATTAATGGAGACTGAGCAATGTAGATCGAAATTTCATGGATGGGGTTGGGTAAAGAGAGGGAAAAAAAATCTCTATTCCTTTGACAAACCTCCCTGCTCGCTCTGATCCGGGAACTGAGGACAGCGACCTTGGTTCGGGCTGGACCAGGACTCGGTTGCTGTCCACGGAAGATAGGTGCTGAAAATGCCTCGGTCCCGGGCGAGTTCAGTTCCGAGAGCCAGGGGGCGGGGTTGGCGCCAGCTATGGTTAGCCCCGCCCTGGATGTAGGAGAGGGATGCGGGGACGACGGGGTTAAGGATGTTCAAAGGGGATAGTCGTGACTTCGGTGAGAGCTTGGGGAAAGGAGGGGTGAGTGGGAAGGAAAGGAAAAAATTTAAAGGAGGGGGAGCGAAGTGTTAGATTCGAGGATGAGCCGAGGCCCGGCGTTTCAGGAATGGAAGGCCAGTGGCTCACCGGCTTTCCCTGCAGAGGCCAGGCACTATCCGGGTCTCCATTCCCAGGATCCCGCATCTTCCCGCCAGTGGGTTTGAAAGATTTCTCCTCGGTGATTGTGACTCTCAAAATAAGAGGCTATAGGTTGCTTTATTCGGACCCTCGTCCCCTCCCACTTCATGCTCCCCATAGCCCCGTATTCTGCAATTCCCAGGAGGTGTGTAAAGTAGTGTGGTGTGGCATTTTTCTTATTATTCCCCCTTTTTCGCATGCTAGTCATAGAAGTCCTAAGTGAGTTGGTGGAATGAGTGAATTAGAAGCCCAAGCACAGGAGCTGCTGGTGTGATGCGCAGAGAATCCAAGCTAGGGAACATCGCGGGGCGCCTTAAAGCCAAAAGCCAAAGGAGTCTACATCAGCCTGAAGGGAAATTGGAGAGGAGGTGTTCTCTAAGTTGCCAAATGTTGTTGGGAATACCATCAATTACCTGGGGTTGGGGGCTGGACCCAGACTGAGAGTCACTGCAATCAGCTCGACAGGTAAGGTTATCAGAGGCAGAGAGGGAATGAATATCACGCGCACACAAAGACATTCATGCTGATTAACTCCAGGAGAGGGAGAATAAAAGTGCATCCTCAAACTGGCCCTTGAGGATGGGCTGTAGACGGTGGGAGAAATGAAGCACTCTTGAAGGTCTGCAGTAAGCTTTGCGTGCATGCAGAAATATTTTATAGGTTTTTAAAAAAATATAAACTCGGGACGGCGAGGTAAGTATTTGTGGGGGCTAGCCTTCAGGAGAGAGAAGACACCAGGTCTCTCTGCTTCATTCACCCCTTCCCATCTGTTAGTCTCTGGCTTTAGTGACCTGACCCCCACGCAAGGGTGCAGCCCAGGGCGGCGGGTGAGTTATGTTTAGCTCAGAAGCCGTTGCTCTCTTGGAAGTTTCCCTGGCTGAGACTGAGTATTCAACTCATAATAGTAACAAGGGCTGTTACTGATGTGCAGAATAACAAATAACGCTGCAACCCACACTTTGTCTTGACAATTCAGTTCAAACCAAAGCTGTTCACAGCCTCTCAGCCCACCCCTCGGCCTCCTCGTCATTCACTGGGACCTACTCGTTCCCTTTCCCAAGCCTCGCCCCTCTCAGCCCTGCAAGTTGCGTGGTTGTGTTTACAAATTCTGCCACAATTGTAAAGGAAATAGGGGTTGGGGGAGCGGTCGGGACGGGAGTGGTGTAGCGCAATAAAGCACTTGCAACATGTGGAGCGCTGGGGGGGGGTGTCCAAGAGTCAAGAATGGGACGGAGGGACACCCCCTGTCCTCATTCCCCCCCCCCCGTTCTTTCCCACCCCTTCCCATTGCTTGGCACAATGCACAAGTTTACCTCCTCACCCCGAACTGGATCCTATTAAATAATTCAATGGTAGCGGTGTAATTTTGGTTGGAACCAGCACGGATTCCCAAGTCGTGACTGCAAAAAGTGAGTAATGCGCGCTGGCTGCGTCATGGCTCTAGTCACAGTTCATTCCGAACTGAGAAGGAATCGTGACTTCGCCTGGAGACGTCCCCTACATGGGAGATGGGGGGCGGGGGGGCACCAAACCAGTGGGGACGGGGGTGGGGGGAAGACCTATCCAATGAAAACCGCTGCCAGGGGGACATTTGAACTCCGCCGCTCGCTGTCTCGCTGTCCCTCTTTGCCCCGCGCACCTCGCTCCCCCCTCCCGGCCGGCGCTCGCAGTGGCGCGCCTGCTCGCTCTCCCGCTACCCGACGAGTCCTCAACAAGTTGGAGGAAGGCAGGAACGCAGGGGTTAAGCTCGGAAAGCCGCAATTACCAAGATCGTGACCCTCCCACACAGTACAGTAACTTATATACTTACCTGGAAGAGCCCGCTTCGCCGCTGGGCAAACACCCGTGGGGGGCGGGGAGGGGCCGGAGGGAGCCGGCCGGCAAGAGAGGGGCGCCTTCCAGCTGGCTGCAGTGCGGACGGGACCGGTGCGCTCCAGTGGCCCCCAGACCGAGGTAAGGAACAGGGGATCGGCGCGTGGGTCGGCTGGTGGTCGGTCGGCTCACTGGTATTCTGAGCAGAACTTTTTTTTCCCAGTTGCCCCGCGCCGCGGCGGCGGCAGCGGGCGCAGACCGCGGAGCCCCCTCTGGCGTGGCGGGCGCGCAGACGCTCGGAGGGTGTGTGCTTGCGTCTGTCCGTCGCGGAGCCTAGGGGATGCGGTGGGAGGGTGTGTGGGTCGCGGAGCGGCAGGAGGGTGATGGATGGGCGAAGGGGGTGGGTCGACAGGGACTTGGAGACAGTGCCTCCACTGTCGACAGACGTTTTCTCAGAGCGTGCTGGGCGAGGGTGGGAGTGTGTGTGCGCGCGCGCGCACCCTCCCGCACGTCGATTCCAGGGTTGCAAAGAACAAATATGGCAATTTCCCCCCCAAGTTCTGGCAGTGTTTGCAGTAACCCATCCTAGGTGAGGTTTCCCCCATTGGGAGACTATATGGCTAGGAAGGGAGATAGTCAGGACGTCCCTTAGCCCACACCCTGTTTAGGTACTAATAGAGGGGAGGGGCAGGAGAGGATGTGAGAAGGGTGGCGCTACACTGAGAAGGAGGGCAACCCCTCAAAGTTTGGAAGGATGGGATGGGGGAGGGGCCGAGCTGGATGGAGGGAAGAGTGAAGAAGCTCTCCTTCTTCTCCCCCTTTTCTAGTCTTCCCTCCCTTCCTCCTTTCTTCCTCCCGCAGGAGCTAGAATCTCCCATCTTAGTTGGGTCCTGCGGTCAATGACGGGCTCGCCCCTTGTTGCTCCCCCCAGCATTCTGCAGAATGGGTAGGGAGTTGGGGAGGGGGGGCTGCAGCGTTGAAAGGGCACCTGAGGCGAATGGGCCATTAGACACCCAATATTGAGACAGTTTCAGGGAGGATACGGAGGGAGGAGCTTCACCTTTCTAGCTGAGCATTCGGAATTTTGGGTGGGGAAGGGGGTGTTGAGACATGCCCCCCCTTTTTTTCTAGAGATAGGCTGACTGGTGTGGAGTTTGGGTTTATTTTATGTTCATCTTTGACATTTTTCGTCTGGATCTTCTGGCTTGGGATCCGTTGGGAGAGGTCGCTCTCTTGAACCTCTGTTTCCCAATACATCGCGCCACCCCCTCACCTGGACTGGGATGGAGAGGGGTCCCGAATAGCTTTTTTTGCAACAACAATATTTTAACATGTTCCAGTCTAGGTTTTGTTGAATAATTAGAAATGGAAATATTTTTTCTCCCTCCCCCTTCTGAAAAAAAAAAGGGGGAAATGTGAGCTCTCTTCTGATTGGTGGGTGACGATTTTAGTCCGCACCAATGAGCTGGCGGCCTCGTCTGTATTTATTTAGTGCTCTGGGGGAGTTTTTCTCTTTACGCAGCGCCTGTAGTCACGGCTGGAACCTTGGCTGGGGGACTAGCAGGGATTAGAGGGGATTCGGGGGGAATCCGAACTATACCTGTTCAGAGATTCTCGACCTTGCAGCCGGGGCTGGCGGAACTCGGTTAGAGGAATGGGGGATAGGACAGGCAGGCGGGTAGGCTCCGGGTGCCGGGGCGACAGGAGAGGGGTGGAGGCTGGGCTCGGGGATCCCGGGTGCCCCGCCGCGGTACCCTTCTCGCCGTCCACACACTTCTCTCGGGGCTGAGTTGGGGGATCGAGGACAGTCTGGAGAAATGGAGACTGGAGTCCAGGGGCGCGGAGGGGCGGGCGGACAGCGCGCGGGGTGGTGAGGCTGAGCCGCGATGGAGCGCGCTGGGGAGACCCAGCCTGTTCGGCTCCGGGGTTCGGAGACATCCTGAGCTGAAAGCCGCGGCGGCGACGAACCGAAGAAGCCGGCAGATCCTGCCCTTCGTGAATCTTTTTGCGGTCTGGGCTTGCTGTACATAACTCAATAGCCGGAAGCCCTTACCCCAAAAAGCATTCGCGGAGGGCGCACTCGTCGAGAAGACGGCAGCCATCCCCAGCGATCGCCGAAGCCCGCACCTTCCCGAAGCTGCTCCGACCGAGGCTTACCCGGCCTTTTCCCCGTTTTCCACGGAAGATTCGGCCCTTTCCCCGCTGTCCTTTCCTCGCTCCCTGAGGCTTTGGTCACCTGTCTTACCTCCTAGCGAGTCCCCCGCCCCCAACTTTTTAACAGACTTTGTATCACAGAGGGAACTGGAGCAGGTGGGGTGCGTGTGTTTTTGGAGAAGTGAGAAGCTAAAATGCAATAAAAGTTTACAGAAGTTGTGTCTTCCCCCCAGCCCCCGCCCACACCACGAATAACCCCATTCACTCACTGCAACAAAAAAAAAAAAAAGAAGAATCTGATCTTAGGGCCAAGTCAGAACCTGGAATATCAATCAGTTTAGGACATTTTGTGATCATTTTTGACCCTAATGATCCGATTCTGCAATATGGGGGTGGGGAAGCCCTTGAGGGAGGGGCTGGAGGCCCTCAGTATCTTCTGTCCTGGTGCGGGGGACCCGGAGGTGAGGCGAGCCGCGGTGAATTGGGTGGCTCCGAAAAAGAGGGAAAACACCCAGGCACCGCCCGCTCTCCGGAGTCCTTTCCTCCCGCGCCTCCTTCCAACCTAATTTGAGGCGTTTTGCAGCCTCGGGTCTCCCCCATCTCCTCTTTTCCAAAACTAAGTAGCACGGAAGGGGGTAAAACAGGCGAGAACTGGGGAAACCCCCGCAGGGAAGGAGCTTTGGAGAGATGCGGTTGTGCCCGACTCAGACGCTTAGCAGGGGCAGAAGCAGCAGCCCCATCCCGGTCTCTCCAGGCGCCGGTCCTGGGGAGGAGGACAAAGCTTCAGGAGAGGGGAGAGTCTATGAGTCCCCCTCCTCCCCCTCCACTCATTGCAGCCCTGACCACTTCGGTCACGAGTGGCACAAATCAGGCCTTCACCATGTTCTTCTCCCCGCGCCCTTCGCCTGCTAGGAACACTGCTAGACGCCCTTGCCCTTAGGGACTGGGCCAGAAGGACAGACAGACACACATGAGTGCCCACAAGGACCGAAATGGGTAGAAGATGGGTTTAGAGACACCGGAGTTCCAGACCCGAGGGCTGCGAACCTTCACATTTTCGGGGAGGGCCTGAATTTCCCCCGCATCACAACCACCGTTCTTTCAACAAACTAAACGCCCACAGTCATTCCCCTGTCCGCTGGTTGAACACTCGGACTCTACCCTCTCCAGAATTAGGAAAGAGCTGCAGAGTCCGAGAGTGCTGGACAGAGTCAATCTTTCGTAGCCCAGACTGTGAGAAGGCATGGAAGGCGAGCACTCCAAGCTCTAAGGCTAAATCAGAGCTTTCCTTCCCAGATAAAGGATATTTTCCCTCCCTGAATACGTTTTCTAAAAGAGTAAAAAGGTTCCTAAGATCTGCAAAGGAGATGGAGCAAAAAGCAAAAGCTCGGGGATTTTCCTTCCTGCCTCTCACCTGGGGCCGTCTGTGGAGCGATAGCTTTGGGGAGGGAGAGACAGAAGAACCACGTTATATTAAAAATAGCTTCACCCTGGGTCCCTTCAGCTCCTCTTTTGTCTTTTGCTTCTTACATACCCCTCCTCTTCCCAGCCAGAAAGCCCTCCTCTCTCCCAAAGCCTGAACCTTCACCAGATTTGGGAGAGAGGTGGCCCAAGAGAAGTGAACTTGCAGAGAAGAGGTTGAGTCACTGCAGCGCAGGCAGCTCAGGGTTATTGCGACCCTAGCCCCCTCACTTCTCCCTCGGAGGCTAAGTGTGGGGCTGGGGCTCTAGGGCCCCAGGAGCCCCGGCCGAAGCCGGCGTCGTGCGGCACCGGAACGAGTACTCGCCTCGTCTCTCCTCGCCTCGCCTCAGCCAGACAACTGTTGCTGCCTTGGAGAAGCTCCTGCTGCTGCAGCTGCTGCTTGGGGCGGCTGCACGCCTGGGGCTGAGGCTGCTCACTTTTGATCAGGGTTGGGAGCTTGCGGAAAGGGGTTTCTCATTCCGGGTGGGATCAAAGGACCCCTTCCCTTAAAAATAAGTGAAAATAGGTGGCTTTTTGTGGCTTTTGGTGTCTTTCCTTACCTCCTTAGGGTGGTTATGTCAGTCTGAGACCAGTGGAAGCTGATCGCTCCCTGTCTACCCATTTTGCCTTTGCTAAAGAAGGAGGGGAAAGTCGGGGGTGGGGGTTGCCTCTTTGAACCCTCAAACTGCCGATGCACATCCGAGTTGATAAAGCTACCTCGCCTTTTGAGCCAGGGGCCTGATGGAAACTTCCAGGCACTTACATCTGATGCCAACCTCTGGAGGCCCTATAGGAGAGGAAGCAGCACGCCGGGACCCCTCATCACCCCAGGCTACTCCTCCGGGGGTGTGTGAGAAGTGTTCTGGAGGCAGCTGGGGAAATTTTGTCCCCTGGGCCAGGCCAACTAGCTTAACCTTTGCCTATGTTAAAAATCAAGACGAGGGGTTGTTTCTGGAGCTAGGGAAGGGGTGCAGGGGCCACAGAGTCCCCTCAGGGTCACCTGCCCCCAGTGGGGAGTTGCAGGTGGCTGGGCCAGGTGGTCTTTCTCAGGCCCACTCTGACCACAGCCTAGATGATCTGCTCTCCTTCTGCTCCTTCGCCTCTCCTGAAATCTGGAGCCAGATTTCCTCCCTTTGTCGGCCCTCTTGTCTCTTCTATCTTTCCCCAACCTGTGGTTGCTTTCGGTCCCTCTGCCTTGCCTGGCTCAGGTTGGAGGCAAAGGCATGGATTGATTCAGATGTGCTGGGCAGGCTTGCTATGATCTCAGACCAGGGCCATTTTCTCTGTTCCGGGGACTTCTCAAACTGGACGGCTTTGTGGGCATCTCTGAAAAGCTCTGCTCTTGCATCAGCATCCATGCCTTGGTAGCTCTTAGCCCAGATGTGCCCCCGGCCCTTTTCCTTTCCTTCCTCCTTCCCACTCCTTGATTTCCTGTGAAATGACCCAGCTGCCAATCATTCCCATTCTCCTTCTGAGCCAGCAGAGTAACCCTGCCCATCTTTTGGCCTTTTCAGGTGATCAAACCTGTCCTGACACCTGGAGGTCTGCATGAGGGGTGGTCACTGAAGGAGGAGTTCTCAAAGGCCACAGGTAATGAAGACCTTGGATGAATGAGCTTAGAAGTCCCAGGTGAGTACCAAGATATGTCAGCCCATGGTTTCTTTGCCTGAGCAGGCCCAAGGGACCTCCACACATACTTCCCACTTGATGATGAGACATAGGAAAGCCACAGATCCAGTGCTTGGGGACTTTCCTCAAAGGCTTAGTCCTTGGCAAAGAAAGGTACCCATCACAGAGGTTACAAGGAAGGGCACAGTACCTACCAAATGAGTTATAGGACTTCATAGGACTGCATGGGGCTTCCTATCCCCAAAGCAGGACTTGGGCCTGCGTATTCAAGAGCTTCCAAATCCCCAGTACTGAGGGGAACAGGCCCTATTCAATAGGGCCCACTGTTCCTTTTCCACCCCCACTTCCTGGACCATCTCAGGCCTCTCAGGGGCCCAAGGAATGTGCAGAGTTGAAGGATCATTTGCCATGCCAAGTTTCTCTGAGGATACCAAACGTTGTTGCGTCTCCTTAACTGGAGTTCAGCCTAGGATGCACGGGAAAAGTTTTAAGCTCTGGATTTTTTTTTTTTTTTTTTTTTTTTGAGAGGTAAGGCATTGAACTCTAAATGCATTTACTTTCCCTATTAACTAGCAAAATCTCTTGCTATAGAGCTTTTGTTTAGCTGCCTTTCTGAGCTTCAAAGTCATACTGTGATTCTTATTGGGGATTTCAGTTCAGAGCTTGGCAGATAATTTTGAAACCCCAGGGCTGTTAGATTTGTGAGGAAAGGAGAAAGCAAGTTACCTGCCTAATCCATGGATGTCATGTGAGCCAAATGTGGGAAGCTGCCAGAAATTTTTAGAGGGAAACTAGAGACTTATAGCACAATAGAAGCACATTGCGTGGAAGATCATCAGGTCATTATACAACAGATCTGTTTGCTATATTAACTAAATAACTGCTATATGGATTTTTGGAAATTTTTACATTTTAAGAGAAGAAATTCAATAATAAATAAATTGACTGGAATCATCTATGATTCCTGCCATGTAAAGTATGGATGAAGCCATCAAATTGTTAAATGAGCCTAACTTCTTTTAATTTCCCCTTTTGAATATAAGAACCTGAAGTTTGCAGCATCTATCTTTGGTCAATAGGGTTGTGTTAATTCCAAGAGGAATTAACAAACTTCCTTCTCCCTCCTTAACCAGTAGTTCAGTTGCACTGTGAGGAAATCGAAGAAAATAATATGGTGATGGTGGTGGGGGGTGATTTTCTTACCTGAGGAGTAATCTCTTCTAATTATGTTTTTAAAAACCCATGGTTGGATTAAACCTCAAATTTAAATATAATATATAGCATGCCAAAGCTGGAAGGAACTGTAGAGTATATTGAGAGAGAGACTAATTGCTTCATTTTATACATCAAACAGGTTCAGAAAGGTGAAGTGATTTTACCAAGGTCACACAGCTTGGGCTCGAACCCAGGTTGTTTATTGTGTTCTCTGTGTATTTTTTTTTCCACTAAGCATTTCCTATCACTGTGAAATCATACAGATAATCATAAACATAATCCAGGACAATAGAACAGATTCCCTTTGAAAATGACTGGCATTTGGAATGCAAGAGTTCAAAGAAGAGTTTACAGAAAGTTTCTTCTGCTTGCAGTTAGCATTCTGGGGGCGTGACCAGAAGGTTAGGTTTGGCTCTCATCTCTTGTCTCTGACATGGCCTAGACCTCAGAGCCTCCCTGTTGCCTTGGTCTGCTGAGGAAGTCATCAGCACAAGAAAGTTGCTTTGTCATAGCATCCCAGTATCTTTCAAAACATCTGCTAGCATGAAGCTGCTCTGTAAGGCATGGATCCCTGTCTCTTATTTCTCTCTTCTGGATGGCAGTTAATTATCATCCTTCTTGCCCTGTGGGGCTTGACTGAAAGCTGTTAGGAGGGTAGTTGGAACCAGGATCTCTTTTATAAGCAAGAAGGCCCTCATAAGGAGGTTTCAAACCAAGTGAAGATCTGTCTGATCCTTGTCCCCAAGAGATGTTTTTAGAATGCTGCAGATTACCTGCTTGTAGGACAGTTGCTTGGCCTGGTCAGTTTTAAGCTCATGATTTACTGCCAAACCCTGGATTGAACTCCACTATTTCAGATTTACATATTTCTGCCAATGTCAGCCACTTCGAGGACATATTAATCATGTCTTCAGAACATGGGAATAGTAGTCACGCTGTGTGTGCTATCACAAATAAATTATTCTAGTGGCCTCTCCCTGCTGTTTGCTCCCCCCACCTCCCCTTTGGGAGATGCGCTTTCTGACAACTTCTAACTAAAATGTAAGATTCATTTCTCTGCTTAAAAAGCAACAGATTGGGAGGAAGAAAAATGAGATGGGGTGAAAGATACAAATAGGTTAAAAAGCAAAACAAGGCTGACAAGCAGTGAAAGGATTAAAAGAGCAAATGCTATCTAGTCCTAACTACTTAGGTTTACGAACTTAAAGAAGCAACTGTATCCTCCCTAGGCCTGGATTTCTCCATCTATAAAATTAGGTGGTATGGGGTCAGACTCCATCCATTCATGCATTCATTCAACAGATGTTGAATGTTTATTCAATAAATGTTTGTTGAGTTCCTGTACTATGTATCAGGCCTTATTCTAGACATTGGAGATATAAATAAATTATTCTTCCTTTGATAATCTGTTGAAAGCTATAGACCTTGTCCCAATCAAAAAGGAAAAAAAAACCCACAGGCATTTTACATACAATTTCAGGGAGCTCAGGACATCCCTAGGTTCCATGGACCCCAAGTTAAAAATTTTTTCATCGACTCTGTAAGGCCTACATTTTATAATATGAAGGTTTGAGCTTAGGTTGCATGGTCAAATCTTGGTTTTTAGTCGTTCCTTTTTTTCCTCCAGCAGCACTCTGCTGCATTTTTATTGTGATTTGGTCCTCCTTTTTTGGAGAATAAATATTTGAAACTGAGTTAATACTGCAAGTGGCTAAAATAAATGCTGAATAGCAGCTCAGTAACTGAGAGGCAAAGCAGAGGTGGAACTGAGGACAGAAACAAATGAGAAGTTCTGATGACTAAACTCAGCCTGGTCCCGCAGAATTTCAGAGAGGCAATCCATCTTTCAGGCTAAGTATTCTTGGTAAATGGGTGGTTCCATGGAGGGAAGGAAGGTTTATGTTGGAGCTGGACAGTAGGAGATCACAATGCCAGGGCCCATAACAAAGATGGATTTCCTCTGGTGCTTTTGACCACCGGGCACAATCATAGTTGTACAGGCCAGGGATTCATTGAGGAGGAAAGACCAGTCCACTTCTGGCCCTCTTTGGTTGGTAGACTGGCTGCTTCCATGTAGCACAGCAAGGGGCTTTATAGCAGGCAATTCTGTTGAGATCTTTAGTGAAGGAGAAATTGGGAGGCTGAAGGTCCTCAAAATAGACATGGATAGGTCTATGTACAAAGGTTTCATCCTAGTTCTGAGTCTTTCTGAGTGTTTTGCTTCCCTGCCCTCGGCATCCCCGGAATTCTTCCTTGCAATGAGTAAGGCCAGAACTTCATTTAGGCCAAAGGGGCATTTACTGACTTTAGGACTAATCAGCTACTAACACTGACTTTAGGACTGATCAGTTATTGACTTTAGGTGGGGAGTTGGTGCTCCTATTTAGCATTCCCAAGTGAACAGCACGTGGAAGCCACTGCTAGGAGATGACCCTGGAAGTGAAGTGATCCATCTTTGAAAGAGCCAGTTAGAAATCTGAACTTGTAAAACCTTTGTGTTAGATTGTGGAAGGACAGGATGAAGTGTGTGAATTTCTGCTTAAGCAAGAAAGCAGCAAGTTGCTCCTGCTGAGGCTAAATATAGGAAAATCCATCTAAATATAAACTTTATATCTTCTCAATTTCCTTATCTGTAAAATGGGGATAATAATAACACCCTTCACCATAAGACTTTGGTGGGGATTAAATGAGATTTTGCATGTGTAAAGAGCCTAGTCAGTGTTCAACAAGTGTTAGCTATTATTATTATTACGGTTGTTTGCTTTCCTGCCTGACACACATAGCAATGTCATACAAGGCTTTGATCATAGTGTCAGCAGCTACAGGTCCAGAGCTACTCCCAGAGTGACAGATAAAATACAATCTTTTCTGGAAGCATCTGTCCATTTGTTCCATAGCCTGCCAGTACCCAGGATTACCTGCTGGGAGCAAATCAGAAGGGTTGATGGAAAATCTTTTTCTCTACTTTCTGTGTCCCTACATGAAGATGATCTCTTTCTGGTTTCATTCTCTTTTTAATTCCTTGCTTTCACATTCCTTTTAAAATCTATTGAATTTAATTTAATTAATCTATTGAATTAAGTGCTTTTGCAAATTACTCTTTTTGCCTTTATTATTATTATTATTTTAATTGGGGAGAAAAAGCAATTCATCTAGGATTCTTTTATTTTCAGCATACATCCAGTCCTAAATTTTCAAAGTTTAGGCAATTTCCACCAATGAAAGAAACAAGGAAAAGTAAAAAGGCAGGACTATGTAACGCCATTTGCTGTCATACATGATGTTTACTCTTTCCTTTTCCTGCATATTTGGTCTTCATTCTTTTCTTCTTCTGACTTTACTTTTCAACATCTTATCAATCTTTTTGTCTCCTCTTACAACACCCCCTGCCTGAAAATCTTTGTTCTCCTTTTGATCCACGGAACTTGTCCTATCAGGCATTTCTTTGTAAGTCTTGGCTGCAAACTGCTGGGCTGATTATAGGAAGAATGTGATGTAGTCCCTGAGTTTTCTGGATAATGCTAGGAGAAAATTCCAGGGCCACCATTTGTCCCCTGAACCTGTTGAGCACATTCCGGGCCATTCCAAAGAGAAGGAAAATATATTTTTTATTTTTGTTTATTATTTATTTATTTTATTTAGTTTTCATAGAAATTGGAGTCTTCCCCATGGACCTTCCTACATTTCCACTTTCCCACATGTAAACCCACAGCCTATAATTGCTTCCACTTGGTGACTTTTCCTTTTTTCTGTCTTAAAAAAAAATAATTATACTAAAAGGTTCA